GCCCTTATCCGAGAAGGCTAGGTGTAGATCTTTCCTACCTGAAGATCATGGGTGTGGCTGAAAGACAGCAGTAAGAAGAAGCGAAGGAGTAGCAGTAGAAAGGTTGCAGAAAGAATCAGGAGCCTAGAGGAAGGGGCAAAGGAGGTGAGGGGGTGGGGGCATAAAGAGGAGACGAAATCAGGCGACAGAACATTGCTAGAGAGCAGGAAAGGAGGTGAACGGAGACAATTTTAGAGAAGGAATTTGTTTCCGTCGCTAACTACCTCAGGACTCTAGGCCACGAGAGCCCCCGGGGTTGTTTGGGTTTTTTTTGGGTTTTTTTTTTGGGGGGGGGGGTTTAGAAAGAGAGATTTGACAGAAAACAGAGGTAATGAGATCAAAAGAAAGAACCTCTTGTGTCCCTCCTATAAATAACCGAGGTGGTCGCCTCATCCAACGTTAAGACCTGTATGCAAAGATCTAAGAATACTAAACAGAACGATTTAAATTTATCTTGTTTTAACCCCAGGCAGACGAAAGTGAACCAGCTATAGCAACACACTGACAAGACAACTGACCTTGACAAGACTGCTGACTTTGACAAGACTACTGACCTTGACCAGACTACTGACCTTGACCAGACTACTGACCTTGACAAGACTACTGACCTTGACAAGACTACCGACCTTGACAAGACTACCGACCTTGACAAGACTACTGACCTTGACAAGACTACTGACCTTGACCAGACTACTGACCTTGACAAGATTACTGACCTTGACAAGACTATTGACCTTGACCAGACTACTGACCTTTCTACAGTACTTGCCGAAGGTGCCCACATGACAGTTAGAGACGTTGCAGGATTCCCTCTCCCAGCCGCCCCTGCATTTTCCTCCTGGACACACCCCCGTGTTGACGTCACATTGCTCGCCCAGGTGACACACGCAGTAGCTCTCGCAGCCAGGCCCAAATCTTCCCGTGTTACATCTCGTCAGACGACAGCTCGGGCCCACCCAGCCGTCCGCACAGCCCTCACGGCTCAGGCACTCACCCCCCACCTGCGCGCACGCCGTGGTGCTGTTGTAGCAGTTGCAGTACGACTCACACGTGGGCCCGTACCTCCCGGGATCACACGGACTCAGGGTGCAGTCGTTCCCGCCCGCCCCAGGGAAGCAGCCCAGCAGACAGTCGCCGTTGGAGGCGTTGCATTGTTGGCCGGCCCTACAGAAGCAGGGCTTGTCGCAGTGTGCTCCGTACATGCCCAGAGGACACGCCGTCTGGTTACAGCTCGCTCCTCGCCACCCGGGGTCACAGCCACCCGGGCAGATCCCTGTGTCTATGGGGCAGGGTGGCCCGGCACAGTTACACTGGAGTTCACACATGGGGCCCCACCTGGTGAGGGAAACATGGGAGGAATGGTGGGGAAACATGGGAGGAATGGTGGGGAAAGAAGGCGCACGACAAAATAATACAATCGAAGAAACAGGCTTTTTTTCCACTAGTTTGGGTCATTTCTATTGAATTTTTGTTGTTGTTTTTTTTGTGCGACACCTTTTATGTCCATAGACAAATGCATGTCCGTGAGAATAGAACTGAGAACTGTAGATGAAGAGTACAGAGCATCAGATCTTTCCGTGAGAATAGAACTGAGAACTGTAGATGAAGAGTACAGAGCATCAGATCTTTCCGTGAGAATAGAACTGAGAACTGTAGATGAAGAGTACAGAGCATCAGATCTTTCCGTGAGAATAGAACTGAGAACTGTAGATGAAGAGTACAGAGCATCAGATCTTTCCGTGAGAATAGAACTGAGAACTGTAGATGAAGAGTACAGAGCATCAGATCTTTCCGTGTGAGAATAGAACTGAGAACTGTAGATGAAAAGTACAGAGCATCAGATCTTTCCGTGAGAATAGAACTGAGAACTGTAGATGAAAAGTACAGAGCATCAGATCTTTCCGTGAGAATAGAACTGAGAACTGTAGATGAAAAGTACAGAGCATCAGATCTTTCCGTGAGAATAGAACTGAGAACTGTAGATGAAGAGTACAGAGCATCAGATCTTTCCGTGAGAATAGAACTGAGAACTGTAGATGAAGAGTACAGAGCATCAGATCTTTCCGTGAGAATAGAACTGAGAACTGTAGATGAAGAGTACAGAGCATCAGATCTTTCCGTGAGAATAGAACTGAGAACTGTAGATGAGAAGTACAGAGCATCAGATCTTTCCGTGTGAATAGTCCTGAGAACTGTAGATGGAAAGTACAGAGCATCAGATCTTTCCGTGTGAATAGTCCTGAGAACTGTAGATGGAAAGTACAGAGCATCAGATCTTTCCGTGAGAATAGTCCTGAGAACTGTAGATGGAAAGTACAGAGCATCAGATCTTTCCGTGAGAATAGTCCTGAGAAATGTAGATGAAAAGTACAGAGCATCAGATCTTTCCGTGTGAATAGTCCTGAGAAATGTAGATGAAAAGTACAGAGCATCAGATCTTTCCGTGTGAATAGTCCTGAGAAATGTAGATGAAAAGTACAGAGCATCAGATCTTTCCGTGTGAATAGAACTGAGAACTGTAGATGAAAAGTACAGAGCATCAGATCTTTCCGTGTGAATAGAACTGAGAACTGTAGATGAAAAGTACAGAGCATCAGATCTTTCCGTGTGAATAGTCCTGAGAAATGTAGATGAAAAGTACAGAGCATCAGATCTTTCCGTGTGAATAGAACTGAGAAATGTAGATGAAAAGTACAGAGCGTCAGATCTTTCCGTTTTCTGGGACTCTGGAGCTATTGAAGTTCACAAACTTTGACGGCCATTTTCTCGCAAATTTTACCGCTCAAACCCGTGGACCACACCTCGTTCAATCACAACTGTTTCCACTTCTATTCCAGATACATGGGTACATTTATTTGTTTCACTGATGTCTATTCCAGATACATGGGTACATTTATTTGTTTCGCTGATGTCTATTCCAGATACATGGGTACATTTATTTGTTTCACTGATGTCTATTCCAGATACATGGGGACATTTATTTGTTTCACTGATGTCTATTCCAGATACATGGGTACATTTATTTGTTTCGCTGATGTCTATTCCAGATACATGGGTACATTTATTTGTTTCACTGATGTCTATTCCAGATACATGGGTACATTTATTTGTTTCACTGATGTCTATTCCAGATACATGGGTACATTTATTTGTTTCACTGATGTCTATTCCAGATACATGGGTACATTTATTTGTTTCACTGATGTCTATTCCAGATACATGGGTACATTTATTTGTTTCGCTGATGTCTATTCCAGATACATGGGTACATTTATTTGTTTCGCTGATGTCTATTCCAGATACATGGGTACATTTATTTGTTTCACTGATGTCTATTCCAGATACATGGGTACATTTATTTGTTTCGCTGATGTCTATTCCAGATACATGGGTACATTTATTTGTTTCACTGATGTCTATTCCAGATACATGGGTACATTTATTTGTTTCGCTGATGTCTATTCCAGATACATGGGTACATTTATTTGTTTCCCTGATGTCTATTCCAGATACATGGGTACATTTATTTGTTTCACTGATGTCTATTCCAGATACATGGGTACATTTATTTGTTTCGCTGATGTCTATTCCAGATACATGGGTACATTTATTTGTTTCGCTGATGTCTATTCCAGATACATGGGTACATTTATTTGTTTCACTGATGTCTATTCCAGATACATGGGTACATTTATTTGTTTCACTGATGTCTATTCCAGATACATGGGTACATTTATTTGTTTCACTGAAAGTGAAAGCAGGGCAAAAGCATAAGCCTTTAGACGACACCAATAACACCACAAGCCCAAAAATGGACGAGCGCATGATTTCACCGCGTTGTCACACAGATGGTCACTTCTAACACTTTGCGGTCACTTGACACAATAACCAGTCACTTGACACAATAACCAGTCATTTGACACAATAACCAGTCACTTGACACAATAACCAGTCACTTGACACAATAACGCGCCGGTGAAAATTGTTCCGTTCGTTCTGGTCACCTGGTGACGCAGTTCTGTGCCAGGCCTGAGAAGTCTGTTACAGTCACTCTCCTGGCTGGTGACCAGATGGGGTGACCAGATGGGGTATTTTGTACTGCTGGCTGTGTGACTGCAAAATGTTAAGCACAAGGGGTCTATCCCGAAAAATGCTGTTTTGAGAAAATCGAAGGTAAAGTTTTTGCCCCTTGTTCAGTCTCTTTAAAAGACAAGGAGAGTTTTCTCTATAACCAAACAAATATACGCACCAAATAAACCAAACTTCTCCTATAGGTAGGGCAATGCCCACTTTTGGTGTTGGTCAAGATTTCTGGAAACCCTAGAAATCTGGGTTAGCCCGCTTGTCCTTAAAAGAGGCCAAATCTTGGTGGGTAGGTAGGTAGGTAGGTAGGTAGGTAGGTAGGTAGGTAGGTAGGTAGGTAGGTAGGTAGGTAGGTAGGTATTTATTAAATGTTTAAAAGATCATTGTCCCAAATCACATTTAAAAAAGCAGTTAACATTTTAGAGAAGAGACTTTCGTGAAATCAGTATAGATTCTGACGTCATTATAAGCGATATACATAGATCTGTAACAATATTCAAGCGTGTTGAGTTGTTGACTAAGTTTCTATCATGAGACAGTTTTGATTGTAAAATAGGTTGTTTGTTTGTTTGTTTGTTTGCTTGTTTGTTCGTTTGTTTTTTATTGTTGTTGTTTTTGTTTTTGTTTTTTGTGGGGGGGTCGCTTTTTTTGCGTGGGGCAGTTTGCTTTGGACTCTCTAACTATCACATTGCCAAAAAGAAGAAAGCAAGAAACAACGCATGTGATGTCGATCCTTTCTCTAGCGTCTACTCCCGTGTGTGTACACAGCTACTGTCCACCTGTTGCTTCACCCCACGTACAAACAAAACAAGGCTGCAGGCCCTACCGCTTGTCCGGACACGGTGAGTAGTCACAACTGTCCACTTTCTTGACGCGCAGACACCGGGCCGGACATCCCAGAGCCGTGGTACAGTTGGCCGTCCCCAGGTCTGGGCACAGGCACAGCTCGCTGCACTCGGCGTGCGTCATACAGAACTGGCAGGCGGCAAGCAGCTTCATGGCGGGGTGCACACTGCACGTGGCGGCTAGCCACTTCCTGGGTCGTCTGGTGAGCACACAGTCCTTGCCCGGCTGAGTGGACGGCTCGTCTGTCTGCCAGGGGGAGAAGGTGTGGGTGAGAGCCGGTCCTTCCTCCCAGCGGAACGTTCGCCAGTTGTCCCAGACCTTGGCGCCCAGGAACACCAGGCTTCCCTCCTTCATGATGGTCTTGCTGGAGAAGAGCGTGTCGAAGGCAGAACTTTTCTCCTCTGTCTCCAGCATGGCCAGTTTGCCTCCGTACTTCCGACAAGTGGCGAGGATGTCCGAGTATTGGCCCTGGACCCGCGGAAAGCCGTAGAAGTGGTGACATTTGTCCCTGGTAGTCCCCGGGGAGTCACACGGAATGGCGCGGACACAGACAGAAACCATCGTCGCCACCAGGAGAACGGTCAACGTTTGGGAGAGGATCCTCATGACGTCATGACAAGAAACAGAGCAGGAATCATCTCCCCGGGAACCCCAGCGCTCTGCCGTGGTCTGTGCTTGTCGTTACAAACGTAATGAGCCATCATCAATTGACCTACATGAGCGGGGGCAAAGGTCAACACGCACCAACAGTGGCACGTTCTCGTTCTCCTCGTGGAAATGTGCACCTGTCTCGTGTGTATCCATGAAGTCTGTGAACAAGTCAACAGTCGGGTCGTGTGTCTATGACGTCAGTAGACAAGTCAACAGCCGGGTCGTGTGTCTATGACGTCAGTAGACGGGTCAACAGTCGGGTCGTGTGTCTATGACGTCAGTAGACAGGTCAACAGACGGGTCAGTGGTCAGGGCTGGAGTGACCACGATGCTACAGTGTTGCAGCCATCCCCCTCAATTCCATTAAAGAAAACTAGAGCCGGCATGTTGGAAATAACTCTGAGCCCAGGAATTATACAGTGTCCCAGACACGGAACTGCCAACCTCTCTCTTCGAAACAAAACAACAACAACAACAACAAAAATAGATCCACCAAATGAACGACTTTCCAGGCGTCGGTTTCGGGGAACAACAAGCGATGCTGGAAGCTTGAAAACATGGACCCTTGGAGTGTCAAAAGTTATCACACACAATGGATGGACCAAGGGAAGCTGGTGTCTCTAGAGGGTCGGGGAGAGACAGCAACCTGCGTGGAAAAGCCAGAAGAATATCCAACCAGCTGATAACTGGCACTATCAGCAGGCAGACCCTTTCATGGATCCTGGAGAGGAGGGAGAAGCAGCTGTGGCATAGTGCCGCCTGCAATGACGCCTAGATCTATTCTCCAATCAAATAGGTAAGTAAGTGTCAAACGTCCCCTATAATTCTCCGTGCGTTATAACAGACTGCAGTCTTTCGCGATTAGATATCTAGATCTACATAGATCTAGCAATGAGTTCATGCAATACTTTATGGGCTTTTTTTATTGTAGGAAAGTCTACTCTAGAGTGTACACATGATCTTGATCTAATCTAGTTTGTTTGTTTTGTTATTTACTGAACTTCCTTTCAGACGCAGCTCATTTCTGTTCGTCCGGAAAACCGGAAGTGTCAAACGCCAATGTGCACAAAAGCAGCGCAAACAGATCGGATGTTGGTGCGCACCAAGAGCGGAAAATGTCCCATGGTTTTGATCCAGAAAACGTCAGGAGATATCACAGATTCTCAGAGGTTTTACCTATAGCCATACTATAAATAAAACGCGTCCCTTTCAAGCAATGCGTACAACAGCTGTGTGGCCTTTGGGACAGACCAAACGGGGAACGGCTGTTCATGAAACTCACAAGCTGTAGTGTTTCCCATTTCTGGAAATCCAGCATGCGGTTGGGCTAGCGAAATACATTGTATAAGCCTAAAAGTAAGAAGATATCTAATAATTGGTGTCAAAAAGGACCTGCAATATTTCAAATCGTAACAGTTTTTACCAGATTTTTTAAACAAGGTGTAATTTCTAATTCCCCAAACATACACGTGTCCAGGCTACGTACTCGACTCACTCACTCTCAGAGGACGTGCATTCCTCGACAGGTGGCTCTCGTGATCTAGAGGTTAAGGTGTTCTCCTCTCATGCATTGGGTCCCGGGTTCAAATCCAATGAGCGAAGGAAAATTTTCTTCTCTAAAATGTTCTCCTTTCATACCCTTTCCTGCTCTCTAGCAATGTTCTGTCGTCTGCTTTCATTTCCACTTTCTGCCCCCACCCCCTCACCTCCTTTGCCCCCTCCTCTGGGCTCCTGACTCTTTCTGCAGCCTTTCTACTGCTACGCCTTGGCTCCTCCTAACTGCTGTCTTTCAGCCACACCCCTGATCTTCTGGTAGGAAAGATCTACACCTAGCCTTCTCAGATAAGGGCGAAAAATCTCGGAGGTCCTATGTGCAAGTTGCGCACGTTAAAGATCTCTTGGTGGAGGGCTTCGGCAGCGACCTGGGAAAAATTCAAAATTTCCTACCAAACGAAAATGTTTACTGTGCCCCGCGCGCTCCAATGACCTTATGCAGTTGCGAGCGCCGTAAAACACTAACCAAAAAAAAAAGATATTTTTATATAGGAAGCCTCTGGGAGGACAGACCATTTCTTTTTTTTCTTGTTTCTTTTGTTAGAGCTTTACACAGTTACAACACGATAAGATCATCTAGGTGAGGAAGATTGGAAGAGTTACAAGACAGTAACAAACATAACAAAGGGGGAGGAGAGAAAAGGACAATAGATGTTGGATATGAAGGAAGGAACAAACCACACCAGAGCACCCGCCAACCCCCCACAAACAGAGCTACCACTGAGCAACAAAACGACAAAAACAAGTATCAGAACAGACATAAGAAACAGCTACCACCGAGCAATAAACCGACACTCAATAACAACAGACATAAGAAACAGCTACCACCGAGCAATAAAACGACACACAAATATTACATAAGAAACAGAGCAAGCACAGAGCGATCAAACGACAGACACAAGGCACTAGATGGTGTTTCATGTGCATGTATTTAATGAAAAACAAGCAGTAACTTTACATGATCATCATAGGTATGGGGGAAAATAAATATTCCAAGTACGTTCCTCCAAAGTCCACGAAATGCAACACAACTTCTCTCCTTGCTCTTACAGTACACTCAGATTTCTCCCACAGAGAGCAATCCCTGTGCTGGTGCCACTGTCTGGGAACTTTTGTATCTCAGTAAGACTCACTATGTCTACCATACACCCCGTGTTCCCGCTCTATCATCTATCATCTATCTCCTCATCGACCATCATCATGTCTGGAAATGTGTATCACAACAGATACAGTGACCCCGCCCTATCACTATCACCGCCTACAGTACAGCCTCTCTATAACGACATCCTCTCTATAACGACATCCTCTGTATAGCGACATCCTCTATATAGCGACATCATGGTGCACAGGTCCCAATTTTTTCCTTATAAAATATCACTAGTAATGTTTGTGACTGCCTCTCTTCTCTTTAACGACAAATCTCGATAACATTAAGACATTTTTTTCTGCTTCCGACGATGTCGTTAAAGAGAGGCTGCACTGTATCTCCCCACCAGCCCTCATCTCGTGTGAAAACGTCTCTCTCTCTCTCTATATATATATATATATACTCTATATAGGCCAACAACACACACCGTGTCCCCGCCCTATCACTACATGCACCGCGACCACCTATCTCCTCACTACCAACCCTTATCTTCAGAATAACTAACATGGTAAAACAACACGTCAGTCCGTCATGCGCAGTGGGAGAGACAACCAGCCCTCAAGACAAGGGGAGGGGGGGAGAGGTGAGGGAGGAGAGGCGAGGGAGGGAGGGGGGCAGAGGGAAGGGGGAAGAGAAGGAGGGGGGTGGGGGAGGGGGGATGTCTTTGCAGCACAGTTACCACGGGAACTTGTGGGTAAAAAGGCGGTCACACAAAGAAAAACCCCTGGTGTGCATTATACCGTCGGTATCCGGTACTGCAAACTGCCGCATCAACTCAAAGTCTGTGTGTACTTTTTACTGCAAAAACAGAAAAAAACACTTGTTTTTGCGGTTTTGTTCCTATCAGAAATCACGAAAAGCAAGAAAATTGTACGCCTTGACCGTGCGTAGCATTAGAAAATCCTGTCCCCCACACCGCTGGTGCAGCCAGCTTTCCACTCCACCCTTCAGCTTTTGCAAACAAAGTACATTATGTAGTTTGTGTTTTTGTTGTTAGACTACATGTACTCTAACATTATGTAGTTTGTGTTTTTGTTGTTAGACTACATGTACTCTAACATTATGTAGTTTGTGTATTTGTTGTTAGACTACATGTACTCTAACATTATGTAGTTTGTGTTTTTGTTGTTAGACTAAGAAGAAGAAAATCAACACCAAAATGGTCACATAGTGCTGGCAGACAGACAGACAGACAGACAGACAGACAGACAGACAGACAGACAGACAGACAGACAGACAGACAGACAGACAGACAGACAGACAGAGGGAAAGTACTAGTAAAGAAGTAGAAGCTACTGGTGGCACCAACCAACCACCCTCAAACAAATTGGTTTCTTTGCCCGATTCAGTCAGTAATTCTACCCCAACACGTACCACACCGATATATATCACACTGACTAACGTCCACCAACTGTCATTTCACCGAGGACACCAGGACATGAATGATGAACTTAAGTAACACATCACGCTTCTATCTTTCCCAGTTATTTTAGTTTCCACTTCCCATGCTGTAAACCTGCAATGACCGCGAGATGCCTTGTGGTGTTATAGAAGTACGAATCTTATGGACAGTGAAGCTGGACAGTTATGACGCACCGAGAAAACTACACACAAGTCAAGAGAAAATGGAGGAGAGGGAAGCAAAACCAAACCCCAAACTCCCCCAAACACTCTTCCACACGGACATACAGGACGGAGAGAAAGGAAAACGGACAAGCTGAGGCAGTGGGGAAACCAACCCAACGTGATCGATTCTCCGATTCTTTCTTCACACAATTATAATAATATGTGTCACGACGCGGTGGAATCAGGCGCTCGTCAATTTTGGGGCATGTGGAGTTATTGGTATCATCTGAAAGCCCGATTTATTTGACTTGCCCCCAATGAAATATGTATCCACTTATCTAGAATAGAACTCGAGATATTTGCCATTGAAGGAAGTGAGGTCGCCTGGTTTCAGCGATGAAATTAGCAAGAAAAGTTTGGGAACTCCAATAGCTACAGAGTCTTTGAACACAGAACATGACATATTTTGAGCCTTCAATCAATGTTTTTCAGTAAAATTCACAGGGAAATGAGTTTTTTATATGGACATAAAAGAGGTTAGATCTAAGCCAAAAAATAAAAATTTGATCGATAAATATTTCCAAACTGGTGGGGAAATGACGATTTCGTTATTTTGACGAGCGCCTGATTTCACCACAGTGCCTCACATAGTGGAATGAACGACTCAGTGTTGTTGTTATTGTTATTACTGATCCAGAATGACTTGGTGTTGTTGTTATTGTTATTACTGATCCAGAATGACTCAGTGTTGTTGTTATTGTTATTACTGATCCAGAATGACTTGGTGTTGTTGTTATTGTTATTACTGATCCAGAATGACTCAGTGTTGTTGTTGTTATTACTGATCCAGAATGACTCAGTGTTGTTATTGTTATTATTGATCCAGAATGACTCAGTGTTGTTGTTATTGTTATTATTGATCCAGAATGACTCAGTGTTGTTGTTATTGTTATTACTGATCCAGAACGACTCAGTGTTGTTGTTATTGTTATTATTGATCCAGAATGACTCAGTGTTGTTGTTATTGTTATTATTGATCCAGAATGACTCAGTGTTGTTGTTATTGTTATTACTGATCCAGAACGACTCAGTGTTGTTGTTATTGTTATTACTGATCCAGAATGACTCAGTGTTGTTGTTATTGTTATTATTGATCCAGAACGACTCAGTGTTGTTGTTATTGTTATAATCCATCCAGATTGACTCAGAGCCAGAAGCAGCCACCCAGATCCAGGGAAATCCCTCTACCTTCAACCTTTCATATCACCCGAGTCTTTCCCCAAAGTATCAACTAGACATTTCACTTTTCTCAAATGCCCAACTTCCAAAGGGAACAGTAATCTTTCCTAACCAACAAAACCAAGAGAGACAATACTGACAGTGACAAAGCCACAGAGAGCTGGTGGGGAAGAACGACGGTTCCACGGAAATTGCGACAAGACCCAGGTCTGGCAACACACATCTACAAATATCCGTACGATCAAAACTACCGATGAAAGCATCGCCAAAAAACTTTTCTTTTGTGATTCTCTCAGCAAGATCTGTGAATCACAACAAGCAATGGGAATTTCCAGCTATTCAAAGAAGATCCCACTCATCTTGTTCTATTCTCCCCCCCCCCCCCAGCAACAAATCGGTGGCCGCTCCGATCTGCCTCTCTCATACTTCATGTCTGCTGGGAGTAATGGTTTCCAAAGGCATACACTTGATATGGCAAACATAGAGCATAGGTTTGTGGACAAACAAAGAAATGTGAAAACCAGGATACTTGAAATAGGAAAAACAACGTTGTTAGCAGTCTGTCGCAGAGGAGGAGTGAAAGTTCCACAATTATCTCCCACAATATTTCACACACAGTGGTGCCATGTACTCATCAGGCACTCACCCACAGCAGGGCAAACAATCATTTACACTTGCATGGGAAATCAAGTAGCGTCCTTTCTCACACAGTTAGGCTATATCTGGGGAGACGTGGAGCCCCAGCCAATCACACGTAGGTATACAGTCCACTCCACTTGTAGCCAAGTCGGTTGTAAAGATGTTCAGACGTAGCGATCGTTCTTCACAGAGCGGGCACTGGTGTAACACAAACTCAATCAAATGGAAACGGCCGTACCGAACTGACTACATCCGTCGAGACAGCTGTGGTGATGCGTATAACGGTTTTAACGATGTTTCCCCCCTGTTTAGTTTTGACCAATCCTTGATGAACCCAAAGATGTTTTGTAACGTTACGAACATTCACACAGCAGTAGGAGGCATCAGACACTTAGCCAGAAATCTCCCACAGAATGACACTATTGACAACCTTACATGACACATGCCAAAGCTCAATATTAACTCTACAGTGAGGTTGAGAACTGGGATTATTTCCCTTGAATTTTTCTTCCAACGGCTGTTGCGAACTTCGGATGTAGCAATCTTTTTTCTGACCCCCCACAACGACATCGCTACCAGCGTAGTCGACTGTATATCTGCCGAGAAGTGGCACCCCAGCCAATCACACGTAGGTATCTATCGACAGAGACATGGCGCTCCAGCCAATCATTCACTCTCCCGTCACAGCCACACAACACTGTCTCGTCCATCGCTACATGCTGCCAGAACATTTGCACCAACTTCCCCCACGATATTGTACACTTCTCTTTGGGGACAAATCATTATTAGCAACACACACTCAAAACTTGTGAGAAATCAATTTTTTTAAAAGAACTTTTCATCAATAAAAAGATCTAGACACTCATTCATTCCGTTTTAGTCACAAACAATCCCTACCATCACCTGTTACAAGCAAACCCCTTTACAAACAAGCCCCTATCATTCCCCGTTACAAGCCCCTATCATCACCTGTAACAAACAAGCCCCTATCATCACCTGTAACAAACAAGCCCCTATCATTCCCCGTTACAAGCCCCTATCATCACCTGTAACAAACAAGCCCCTATCATCACCTGTTACAAGCAAACCCCTTCACAAACAAGCCCCTATCATTCCCCGTTACAAAGCCCTATCATCACCTGTAACAAACAAAACCCATCCGGCTGTGCACAATCTCAAGCCATCATTCCTCTCAAGAGCAGATTTCACTGGACACAATTGATGGACCAGCATTGTCCTGCGACATGATTAAAAAACTGTCTATCAAAATTAGTAACCGCAAGGAGGACATTCTTCCAGGAGAAAAACAAACTATAATTATCTCAGGACATCATTATGGCATTACAGGGGGCTGGCTGCGTTAACTGATCAGGTACTCCGCCGCTCGGGTCACGTCCCAGTCTTTTGTCGAGAGCGCCACGCGTGCCTTATGCTGAGGACACAAAGACAAAGAAAATCATGGAGAGTCGTTTTGTTGTAGTAATAGTTTTACGGCACTTGCAAGCTACCCTTCTCCCTCCGAGACCTACCATTGACAACACACTCTATGGAACATTACAGCAACTGCAGCAAACCTGCACTTATCACTACATGGCATTGGACAGAAGGGCGAGAGCCCAGCTGTTGCTGGATCGATAACAACAACAACAACAACAACGGCACTTGCAACACAATAAGGTCGTATAAGTGCCGAAGATTAGAGGTGTTACAAGTGAGTAACATACATAAAATAGAAGGAGGGGAGATCAGGACGATAGATGTTTGATAGGAAAGAAGGAGAAAACCAGGCCAGAGCACCCGCCAACCTAGCAACCTTAGCATGTGTGGTGGAATTTTCCGTACATAATTAACCCCCCTCAGAAGCGACCTTTTCCCAGACCAGCAACATTCTGTGCTATAAACTGTCCGACAAATGGTATTTTGGTCAAGACTCCTTGTGGTCCTAGAAGTGATCAGAACAGGGCTTGGTCTCAACCCCTGAAATTCCAAGATTAATTCCTACCAAAATTGAAAAACCACTGGTCGGTACCGAAATATACACAGTGCCTTCGAAATCAGAAGAGCCCTACCAAGAAGGAAAAACAGTCACATAGGTACAACAATCACCGTTGCACTGCAGATGGCAAAAGGAGCAGTTACCCTTGAGACCCAGCAAAGGAACATATTGTTACAGTCCACAACTCCATCACTAAATCGGTGATTTTAATCGCACGGAAACACCACAGATCACTTGACCAGTTATTTTATAGGACAATTATATTTTGGGTCAAACTGCTGTGCTCAAGGTGTGTGTTTGTTGAGATTTGAGGCGAAAATGTGCCCAGGGTTAATAAGGGAGAACACCTACGTCTAAGAGGAGGAGGAAAAAATAGGAAAACAAATTCAGGTGAGTTGTACACAATACCTTCTCTGGATCAATAACAACAACAACACAATACTTCCAGGCAATGTCAACCAACTGGTGAGCCAAGTCATTACCTCGTCAAATCCCATGTTCTTCATGGACACAACCTTCTCTTCCAATTCTTTGTCACTCTTCGGACCTGGGGGAGACAAAAGCAACAATCAGTTCTGTTCAAATAAAGACATGCCTAGTGGCTAGGCTCTCGGACTCGCAACCGTAAGGTCGTGGGTTCGAACCCCGTCAGGGACCCGACGTTGTGTCCTTGGGAAAGGCACTTTACACGAATTTTCCTCACTTCACCCAGGTGGGAATGGGTACCCGGCTATAGACAGCGAAAGATCTTGTCAGTCTGTTAGTGTTTGAGCACTTAATCAGCTGCTTGCACTGTATGCTTCCCGGGAAGCTGAGAATGTTTCGGAGTGTTCTATGGTCTGTTGGGGTAATAATATAGTGTAAAGCGCATAGAGCCTGCTGTTGAGCGGGGATATGCGCCATACAAATGCTATCTATTATTATTATTATATTGTAGTTTTACTAAGGTTTTACGGCGCTCGCAACTGCATAAGGTCATAGGAGCGCCAAGGGGTGGATGTCAACAGAGAAGTCCTTACAGGGAATCAGGTCTTACTCTGCTCACCTCTCTAGCCTCAACAGCACAAAGTCTGCTTCGACTATCAAGGCACCCCAGAAATAGCGGGTCACAAGAGAGTGACAAACATACAAAAGAAGTAGAAGAAAAATAACGTTAGTAAGGATGAGGAAAGAAAAAGCAGCAGTTCCCTGTCGCAGTTCAGGCACAGTTTTGAGCGTGACATTGATGAATCAGTCCATTTACAATTACAATTCTACTGTATATAAGAACTGTTAATGTCCCCTTCTTTGGTAACCACCCACCTCAAACATTTCTCTCACACAAAAATCTGTGCAAAGCCAGCAAATGTGATGCTAATAACAATAACAATAATAATAATAACAATAGTCATTTTAAGTTTCCCTTCTGCAACACGGTTCCACTAAAAAAGTGCCAAATGTCTTTTGCAGTAATACCAAGGAAGAAAAGGCAACATCTGTAACACTTTGCCGTCACATCTCGCCGACCGGCGATGTTTACAACACAGTTTTTTTGGATTTCCCCAACATCCCTTCTCTTCTATGGCAAGGGTTTTTAACTACATGAGCCTTGTGATGGCGAAGTGGTACAGACGTGGACTCACCCCCAGCATAGGCACAGGTCCAGTGGCGCGCCGTGCGCTGAAAGATGGGGTTGTTCTCCTTGAACTGCTGGGCCACCACCGCATCCTGGGGGTCGTCGGGTTCTGCCGCGGCTAGCAAGGCCTGGAGGGATAGCAGAACGGTTCGCAGCGTCATGGCTGCAGCCCTGTGTCATACAGGGGAGAGAGAACACATCAAGGATCAGTCAAATAGTGAATACAGTGCAGTCCGCCTAAAGTGAACACACTTTATTTGAACAATCGCTTAAGGTAAACGATATTCTGAGGTCCCGATTGAAACGCTGTTTGTTTAAGAAAAAAAATAGTGGATAAAATGAACCGGTTTCATGGGGAAATCGGATAAAGTGAATGCCCAAAATGAGAGAAAACGAAGAACGGACCGACCGTGTCACTGTCGCCATGCTGTGAAAATACAATTCTTTCCAAACTGGTACTTCCTGCATATATAATACTAGCTGGACCCCTTTTCGATGAAAGGAATGATTGGTGCATTAACATCAACTGAAAGTCATTGGCCTACTATATTTACACTCTACTGGAAAGGAGCAATAAATCTTGAGAGAAAAGTGACACATGTGTTTCCAGTTGCCAAATATATAACAGATGTATCGATAGATTCTCTATTCCGCTTTCGTGGTTGTACACTCCAGAATTTCAAAGATGTGGTATCGGTGCGCATGGTTAGTGAACGGAAACCTCACTTGTTTACAAAAAAAATGACGTCTTAAAAGACAAACTTTCCCAAGATTAGATCTAAACGAGACTAATGAAAAACTGAAAATTAAACTACAGTGACTTCAAACTCCTCAATAAAACTGTGCACCCTTTCAATGATTCTGAACCACTATTAATTTTTTCAAATTCAAAAGTTAAGTGGTTGGGAAGTTTCAGACTGCCAAAGTGACGACTTTTACAAATAGAATATGTAGATATACACAAACACTTGGATACACAGTAGTCTGTTTCATCTGAAAACAGCGGTAAACCGAAAAAAAATACAGTCTCCGATTTATTTTTCACTATTTGAGCAACCTGTCTACACTGACAACACAGCTAAAATGACTGAAGTCTTGTACCCACCATTGATCCTTCAAGATGTCCAGACAGATAGCCCCCGTCACTGAGCTGATGTTTGGGTGCCAGATTTTTGTCACAAATTTCACCTTCAAAAAAAGAAAGGAAATAACGTCATGACCAAATAACAAAAGGAAATATCGTCATGACCAAATAACAAAAGGAAATAACGTCATGACCAAATAACCAATTCCAGTGAGAGAGAGAAAGAGGGGGACATAGCATAGAACAGAAAGTCCGAATTTCTCTTAAATAAGACGAGAAAAAAACAAATCCCAAGGTCAACTTATCAAGAACCTGCAACTCAAGTCAACTTATCGACTCAAGTCAACTTATCATGAACCTGCGACTCAAATCATCGACTAAGTCAACTTATTGAAAGGAATTTTTTTTAAATACCTAGTTAATACAGATTGCACTTAATCCACCTGAAAAATAGGGTAACAGTTTCAATGTTGGAGGCTCAGTTTTGGAGAAAAGCTCTCACGTCCCATAGCAGCACATCGAGGAACAACTAGCACCAGCCACGGATGCCACTGGACTTATCTAAAAATAACTGACATTTTTTTCGAGCCGAGATTTAGCATGCGACGAAACGACTAATGCAGCAAAACAACATCAAATCAGTTCAACAAGAAGAACAGACGATGCCCAAAATAACGGCTAAAAAAAATGAAAATAACGGAAAAACAGCATCCCTGATCAGCTCATCAGTTTGCGGTTGATAGATTGTCAAAAAAAAGCTGAAAATAAAACAAAGCAGTTTCCAGGATGAGTTGACTCGTTGGATCAACAAGTTGGAACAGTAAGTTGGAACAGTAAGTTGGAACAACAAGTTGGAACAGTAAGTTGGAACAGTAAGTTGGATCAGTAAGTTGGAACAGTAAGTTGGAACAGTAAGTTGGAACAGTAAGTTGGAACAGTAAGTTGGAACAACAAGTTGGAACAGTAAGCTTGAACAGTAAGCATGGCCATTTGATTTACCTGAGGTGGGTTGAAAGGGTAAGTCTCTGGGATTTTGATTTCCAGCTTGAACTTTCCCCCTTCGTATGCTGTGTCGGGCGGTCCTGCTATCTCTCCCCGTAATTCTGTGAAGGTGTCGTTGACTAATTCCACTTTAATATTGAAGGCAGAAACCTGAAAGAGATCATAAACAGAGGTAAAATGTAAGGTCTCATTATAATAGATAGACTCAGATGTAAAACCTAGGGTGATCTTCATCAAAAATCAACCCACCTATCAATATACAGTCACGCACATAAACGAAATAAACTTGACGCAGAAATCTTTTTGTTGCAAGCGTACAAATTTTTTTCAGTACGTTTTTTGATACAAATAACATACATGCAGGATGTAATATATATATACGGTCGCTTTTAAGCAAGGGGCTATCCCCAAAAACGCCATTTTGAGAAAACCGAAGGTAAACTTTTTGCCCCTTGTTCAGTTTCTTTAAAAGACAAGGAGTTTTCTTTATAACCAAACAATATACACACAAATGAAACCAAACTTTTCCTACAGGTAGTGCAATGTTAACATTTGGAATAGGTCAAGATTTCTGAAGACAGAAGTGGAGGATGGACCAGCAGGTTCCTGGTTTCTGAATTAGTCGCAGTACGCTAATTTTTGGTGGACCGCACCTTCTGCACTTAAGTTATTAGGATACTTAGATCTTGTATTTGGAAGCCACATGCAAATCAATTATAATAAATAAAAAACAGAGAAAAGTGGACCAGGAACATTTTATAGTTTGCTCTGCCCAAGAACTTTACTTAAGTGGACCCACATTGCCAGCCTAGGCTAGGCCTAAGAGGTACCATGAGACTAATGAGAGACGATAGAGGCGCAGGTGAAGTTTACCAGACCAGTGAAAAGAGGGGGAGACATGGTGAAGGTATCTAGATTTGTTTCTAACGTGTACTGTAGATAGGCTGTCTTCTCAATTAAGTTCAGACTTTTCTTCTCTTCGCTTACTTGGGCCAAGACTTGACCGTAGCCTAGATTCTAGAAGAAATGGAGAATCGGGAAGGATTTTTGCCTGTCCTGTACCGTGGTCTCCAAAATCCGTATTAGATCTAGATCTAATGTACATGTAAATATCTAGAAGATCTACATTAGATAAAGAAAAATACATTGTATAGTCTAGTATTTAGTAACCCATCATCATCATGCCCATGTAGATCATTGTGGGAACAATAGATCTAGATATCTAATGGGCCTGTCTGTTCTCAGTGTCAGTGGGAATAGTTTCTTGGCCTCATCCCAGTGACACTGGGACCAATTCTGGCCTATTCCCAGTGCTTTCCAAAATTAAAACCCTTTGCCTAAAACTTAAGGTGGGACACCTGGGTGTGACAAATGAGGTCCAAAATCAACTCTATGTAGTAACTCTGTAGTAATACATCATAGTATTTATGGCCGAATGATTGCAGTTTTACTTTTAAGGACTGTTCACAAATGACCCCACCCCTCTTGTCATCTTTCCCAGGACCCCCCCCCCCCCCTCAAGCTGCCGTCAACCAAAGTGTACACATGAGTACATTTAGATAGAACCTGTACAGGGTGCATTTTATATTTGCACCTTTGATCTTTTTTTTTTTTTTTTTATTGTTTATTAATTTAAAGAATACAATAATGGTGGCGCTGCCCCTGCTTGCACTGGAACCTGATCGACTGGTACACGTAAACAGCACTCAAAGGGTCTGTTTGGCCAATTTTGGTGGATCGTGTCACCACAAATTTTGTGTTATTAACTTTCATATACTCTTTCAGAGCCTCTGTGAACTCTAAAAAGCTTTTGAACTTGGACTCCCACTTCCATGCTGAATAGATCTAGAAAAACTAGAACTAGGTGTTGAGTGATTTCAGATTTGCGATGCAATAAGCCTTGGGGCCAACAGAACGCTACTGGCAAGGTTCCCTCAGGGCTCTGTTTTGAAAAATGAAAATGCCACGCAGGTAAGCTTTTTATAGGCCAAGACCGACTAGTTTCGCGGACTCTCGCATCATTTGCCAATATCGCGCAGCGATCTCGCGCAGTGTGGGCAGCACGCAACGATCTTGCGCAGCGCGCAGGTCAGGCCGACCCTGGGCGAATATAATTATTTCTTATTCGCACATCCGGTGCGATTAATATCAATTCTTATGTGCACACCCAGTGCAAATAACCACTTCCTACTTACAAACAAAGGGAAATAGCACGGGGAATTTTTTACATGAAAATCTCTGGATTATGTCTTCTTCGCACTCAAGCACGCTTCAGCTTTAAGCACCCTTAAGCATTCTCCCGACGACCGTGCTTAAAGCCGGCATGGACTGTACTGGACTCAAATCAGAGTCCGAATAAATAATTTTTGTCTAGATCTATATTCAGACTCGAATAGTCACTTTGATTAGTTTGTTATTGTAACCCTGACTTCAAGTTACTTCCACTCAGTTTCGGTTTGACTTTGGAGAGTGTAACTAAATTACACTCTGGACGACAACAAAACATAACAAAACTCAGGGGTAAGATCTCTATAGACATAGAATGCGCAACCAAACAGATCGACAAAAAGCGCTGCGCGATCCGCTGATCAACAGAATGCGCAACAATCGATGGATTGTCGCGCGTTTCCTCGATCAACCTAATGCGCAGCGCGATTGATGGATCACGCAAATCGACAGATCGCGCCCAACATATATTCTCAGTAGGCCTATAGCTTGGACAAGTGCCAACAGTGGTCACTCCTTCAATTTGTAACACTACTGTGACTTAAACTGGAATTCTTCCCACATCCCTTCCAACAAGAATAGCTTAAAAAAAAAAAAAAATTAAGATTGAAAAAATTAAGGCTGAAGTTAGCAAGATCAAAACGGAAGGCCAATTTAGGTGTACATTTTGATTCTATATTTAGTCATTTCGGGGAAATCCAACGCGATCACGAGAGTCAAAAAGTAAAGGAAGTGGCTATTCTCATCCGGGGTGAGAATAGAAATACGATCGACCTCTCACCCCGGGTGAGACTTGCGACCGTAGGCTATTCTCACCCGGTTTGAAACAAGACCTGTTTTTCCTAAGGAAGAGGCTAGCCGTACTTAATGACGGCTAGACTGGCAGTCTAGCCGTACTTAAGTACGGCTAGACTCGCAGTCTAGCCGTACTTATTCTTAATATGATGGCTAGACTGACCTATTTACAAAAAATAGGCCTACTGAATTGTAAATATACCTAAAGTATTTGTATTTGAGACGAAACCAGGTGCCTTAATGACAGTGCATGTATTTTAAACCTCCTGTTTTCTAATGTTAATAGGGCCTAAGATAAGTACGGCTAGACTGGCAGTCTAGCCGTACTTAAGTACGGGTAGACATCCAGGCTAGCCGTACTTAAGGACGGCTAGACTGTCAGGCTAGCCGTACTTAATATTGATGGCTGAATAGTAAATGAAATTTTTAGTTTGCAATGCCTAAAGTATTTGTATTTCAGACAAAACCAAAAGGTGCCTTACTGACTTGCATGTATTTGAACCTGAATAATTACTAGATCTAGATCTAATGAGACCTGTGTACTTGAAACAGGCTTGAGTCGATTGGGCCAAACCTAGATCTAAGTACGGCTAGACTGCCAGTCTAGCCGTCTAGACTCTCAGTCTAGCCGTACTTAAAGTACGGCTAGCCACTTTGTTTTCCTAATTTCGGAATACTTTCTATCGATGTGGATGATCAAATGGATAAAGGCAAAGAAAAGATTACGTTATAGCACAAAAGTAGGCTAATTTTATCGACTACAAATACTACAAAGATGCTATGGCTATTTCACTTTTCGAATCAAGCCGAACAACGGGGGTCGCCATTTTGTTTTGCCCGGAAGTTCTCGCAAGATCTACTCCTCCCCTCTTCTCTCTCTCTGTCTCTTTCTGAATACTGTCTATCGGTGTGGACGATCAAATTGACCAAAACAAAGTTAAAAAATGATGTTAAAACACAAAAAAAAGTAAATTAATGTGGTTGTCTACAAAGATGCTACGGCTATTTAACTTTTCGAATCGAGCCGAACTACGCGGGTCGCCATTTTGTTTTGACCGGAAGTTCTCGCGCTACTCCTCTCTCTCTCTTTCTCTCTCTCTCTCCACTGCCCACAGACAAAATTGTACGCTTTTAGTAGGCTACAGTTGTAATGGAACGTTTGTTCACGGCACAGAATTCTACAATTTTTCTGTTATCACAGTGTAGAATTCTGTGGTTTCGGGTGAACGCAAAATTTGTTGGCCTAGATATCTAGATCTAGATCTAGGCTATAACGGTGAACTAGATCTAGGCTATAACGGTGAACGCGCACCGGGTGAGAATAGCCAAAAGACTCGCCTGCACTATTCTCATCCCGGGTGAGAATAGTAGAGGTGGCCAAAAGTAAAAGAAAAGAATACCTCATCACTTTTGACTACTTCCTTGAACTCTCTTTTAATTCTCTGTTCGGCTATGTTAGCCATTTTCCTAGTTACAGCTCACTGTTCTGCTGCGATGAAACACACACACAATCTTTGTTTATGGGTATTAGGGGGAAACTACAATTGTAAATTTGGTGACATCTAGAGTTGACACTGAAGCACTCTGTAGTTTTAGCTTCCAGAGTAGGCTCAGCAACAGAGTCTGAGGTAACTTCCGGAATCTGAACAAAAACGTTGTAGGCTCGCACTGAATATCAAGAATTTCAATAATTGGTTTTTCTGTGGACTCTAATCAAACAAACAACAAAAAAGATGCCTTTGTAAAAATGCTAATAAATTGTTATCAACACTATCTAACTTTGCCAAGATATAACATCAAAGCCACAGTTTAGAACGTAAAATGGAAAATAGTCACGGAGTTTTAATTCAAGAAATGTTGTGTGAATAGTATTCAATATTCATGTCAACGTTGCCTTAGGCTATGGGGACGAAAAAAGGTGCGCACATTTCGCAATCTCAACACTTTCGCCCCTTGGCCTAAGGCTTTGGCCTATTATTGTCACTCAGTTTTTTAATCCATAAGAATCCGGACAAGATGAGAAGTCTATTTGTGTCCCACAAACAAACACACACACACACACACTCACACACACACACACACACACACACACACACACACACACACACGCGCGTGCATGCACACGCACGCACAGCACACGACGCACTCACACATACGCGCGCACATGCGCTCGCACACACACACACATACAAACACACACACACACACACACAGATATAATAATAATAATAATAATAATAATAATTATAATAATAATAATAATAATAATAATAATAATAATAATAATAATAATATAGACTGCTTTCTGAGTCTGGTGTTTTCTGACATTGCAGTGCTTCATTAAGGACTATACACCTATACACTAGGCCTACAACTATTATATAGGCCTAACGGTACTTTGGTTAAGGCTTTCTTCGACAAGGCCGCGCTTATACACGCTGGCAGACATCACATTTGCACTGATGTAAACGAGGGTTAATGCGAAAAGCGGAGATAAACAAAAGCGCTAAATCGGGTGATGGAGCATTCTCGCACTATGTTCACTAAGTTGGCTGATTATAATGAACCTTAGATTGAATTAATTGAGGTTTGTGTGTGTTAGTGTGTGTGTGTGTGTGTGTATGTGTGTGTGTGTGTGTGTGTGTGTGTGTGTGTGTGTGTGTGTGTGTGTGTGTGTGTGTGTGTGTGTGTGTGTGTGTGTGTGTGTATCCGCTCTTGCAATGAAGAGAGATCACATCAGTGACAAGTAGAGCGAGTGATGGGGATAGTCGGCCCCTTTAATTAAGAACGTCTCGCACCGACCCAATCTCCTCTCTGATAGATATTGCTAGTTAAAGACTGCGAAGGGACCGCCTACATGTGAGTTGGTGCTTTTGACTGTGAGCTGGTCATGCACGCTTGATAGTGAGAAATAATTTATTTTTGTCTGTCTGTCTGCCTGTCTGACTGTTTGTCTGCCTACCTGTCTGCCTGTCTCTTTGTCTGTCTGTCTGTCTGTCTGCTTGCCTGCCTGTATATGTCTGTCTGTCCTGCATGTCTGTCTGTCTGTCTGTCTGTCTGTCTGTCTGTCTGTCTGTCTCTCTCTCTCTCTCTCTCTCTCTCTCTCTCTCTCTCTCTCTCTCTCTCTCCAGAAATTTGAATGTAAACTTACAAACGAAAATCACTTTGATATAATAATGAAATAAGCTTATATATACGGCTCATATAGCCTTTGTTGAGAATTTTGCCTTCACAATGAATGTTAACTTGCCCACCATTTTTCATCTATACAGACTGCGCCTGATAAGTAGGAAAGGGGGGCTCTCGTGGCCTAGAGGTTAAGGTGTTGGCCTCTCATTCAAAGGTCCCGGGTTCGAATCCGGGTAGCGACCAAAAAATTTTCTTCTCTAAAATTGTCTCCTTTCACATCCTTTCCTGATCTCTAACAATGTTCTGTTGTCTGCTTTCATTTCCACTTTCTGCCCCCACCCCCTCACCCCCTTTGCCCCCTCCTCTGGGCTCCTGACTCTTTCTGCAGCCTTTCTACTGCTACTCCCTGGCTCCTCCTAACTGCTGTCTTTCTGCCACACCCCTGATCTTCTGGTAGGAAAGATCTACACCTAGCCTTCTCGGACAAGGGCGAAAAATCTCGGAGGGCCCGTGTGCAAGTTGCGCACGTTAAAGATCCCTTGGTGGTCTAAAATCGATAAGAGTAGGCTTCGGCCGCCACCCGGGCAAAATTCAAAATTTCCTACCAACGAAAAAGTATTAGGTGTGTCCCGCGCGCTCATATGACCTTATGCAGTTGCGAGCGCCGTAAAACCCTATACTAAACAAACAAAACAAAGTAGGAAAGAAATGAAATAACAATAAACTTCTTGAAACAATTCACAGCTAGCAGAACAGGTCATGCTGTTTTGCATGGAACAGGTTGTTTTGTTTGGGTTTTTTTCTGTTTACTTTTGTTGTTACGTGCTCATTGACACGAGTAATATCACAGGTTGCTCTTTTTGTTGTTGTTGCTGAGTTGGCAGATCAACCCTCAGATGACTCCGCTATTATTGGATTAATAAACCTTGGTGAAAAAAGAGTATTTCGACGTATATTATTTTAAATGGCGCAATTCAAATTTGTCCCAGCACGTGAGACATGTATTTACTAATGTCCCGTCTTGTTGTGCGTATGCGTGAGTGCACCAAACCTTTGTAACTTCTACTGCCATTGTTAACGACCAAGATAAATTTCTTCCTGCGAGATGAATAAAGATTGTCATTGTCATTGTCAAAAAACGAACAAATAAACAAACAAAGAAGCCAGTTCACCCGTCCCTCGTTCTGTTTCCCGTGGCAAGGCCTTGTTATCGTGTTTCCCTTGTGTCGGGGAAAGATTAGGTTCCACAGAAGAGACGACTCGTTCACCCCACTGCTAAACTTTTGTCCTTCGCTGGCTTGTTTGTTGTTGTTCAAACGTAGACACCTTATTGTAGCACACCTTTTAAGTTTGTTTCGTTGAGTTGGGATGAGCCAACACTTGCCATTACGCGGATTCCAATATCAGTTTGACGATTAAGCTCTCTAGCTGTTCGGCCGGTTGCAAACTCGATCACCCCTCACTCCAAGCCGATTTCTTCCATCTGACCTAGCAGGATAGACCGGAATACTTGTATACTCTACGTTCTTATTCAGAACTATAACTGTAAGTTCTCACACTATCCCAGAGCGTCGTGATATTACTCTCTTGATGTAGAACCTTCTCAGCACAGATGATTCAATACTACGATAGAAGTTGAACGCGTGTGTGGATCCCCCAAAGCAAGCTAAGACTCCCATTGCAGATTTCGAAGGTAAGTGATTGAAGTGAACAAAATATTGTAGCCTATATCATGTATATATATATGTTCTTACGCGACAATTTTAACACCCCAAGGTACATATGGCTTCTACTTTGAAAACGCGTTATTTCTTTTGACACTAATCATAGATCTCGAGTTACCCCCTTTTAAACGTAGAGTGTACATCTATGACACTATAACAGATCTTCAGGATTTTCATAAAATTTGGATTGGACGTAAATCATTCATTAAAGTTGTCATGAAAAGGTTTTAGAACTTCCCAAAACAGAAATAATGAAAATCCGCGCATCTTAATTTAACAGTTGAAATTTAAAAAAAAAGGTTTCAGGTGTGTGTGTGTGTGTGTGTGTGTGTGTGTGTGTGTGTGTGTGTGTGTGTGTGTGTGTGTGTGTGTGTGTGTGAGAGAGAGAGAGAGAGAGAGAGAGAGAGAGAGAGAGAGAGAGAGAGAGAGAGAGAGAGAGAGAGAGAGAGAGGGGGGGGGGGGATTCCTGTAGTCTGCTGTCATTCTTTTCGTAATTTTTAAAAATCTTTTTTTTCACATTATCCTTTTTCATTTATTCTAAAAATATTAAAGAATCTTTTTTTCTGACATAAAAGTACTCTCCGTAAATTTCCACTTTTTAAAAAACCTTGAATAATTGTTATGATATTGGGCTCTATCTTCAAAGCAAATTTTGTTTTGATAAAAATCTTTGATCGAACTATGCCAGAGTCTTATCATATCACTTTAAAAAGACATGTTTAAACGTAACACCGAGAGAGAGAGAGAGAGAGAGAGAGAGAGAGAGAGAGATCGAGAGAGAGATCGAGAGAGAGAGAGAGAGAGAGAGAGAGAGAGAGAGAGAGAGAGAGAGAGAGAGAGAGAGAGAGAGAGAGAGAGTATAATAATTCCGATACGTCCACTCTTTGTTGTGTGTATACGCGAGTGCACATTATGAACTGAAATACATGTAGGCCTACCTCAATATATCCCCCCCCCCCTTTCTCCCCTCCTCTTCGCTCTCCTTCTCTCGACTCTTCTCTCTCTCTCTCTCACCCACTCTAGCTCCACCCCTTCTACCCTCTCATTCTCTCTCTCTGGTAATTTAGAACATTGAATAAATCATAGATCGAATATCGGCCTTCAACAGCCCATGTTTTATTCCGGCTACTAGGCTTAATTCAAGTCAGTTGCCCGCGTTTTCTGCTCGCAAAATTCGATCGATCAAAATTCCTCCATTGTTGTCGGTTGTACGTATAGCGCTGGTCGTGAGAATAGAGAGAGGTAGATTTTGTTTTCCCAGTATTTCCCACCTATTTTCAGTCACGCACACACGCGAGTTGCACACTGACGTAAGGGCAATAACACATGTTGAACTCTACAAGAATTCAAGGTTCTGGACCGCTGCAAGACTTGAGCAGAATGCCGAACATCAAAGTATTTGCCGGGACTTCCCACCCTGATCTTGGGCAAAAGATATGCTACAGACTTGGAATTGAACCAGGGAAAGTGGTGACAAAGAAGTTCAGCAATGGAGAATGTTGGTAAGTTGGTTGTATTTTGCAAAAATTAGTGCGCCAAACTGCAAAGCATCTCTCGTCTCGGTCATGAGTGACAGAATCAGAATGCGCAAGTGACAGATAGATTTAGATCTAAATATAAAAGTGAAAGTTGAAAGTTTGACCTTTTTGCACCTGGTAGAATTTGGTGACGTTTCAGGAGGAGAATTGGGAGAGAGTTTTTCACTTGGCTTAGAAGTCTAGGGCCTGGAACTAACGGGACTATTGACCGGTGCAGCATGGGACATGGGGACGGGGTAGGCGGGTCGGACCAGGAATAGAATCTCTGGCTTGTTCACAGCAAGTTCAGTTGTGCTACCTTGAAATGAGAATGAAATGGATGGATGGACATGGAAGAGTGGTGGGTAGGAGTAGGAGGGTGGGATTACAAATTTGCACAGAGGGGTCATTAAACTGTTTACAGTGGGATGGATGGATGGATGAGAGAATGCTGAGGGAGTGAGGCTTTTTCAGTCTGCTGGGTAATATAAATCTAGACAAAGAGGTGGCGAAGCAGCTTCACTGCACTGCAACTGCAGCGAGCACCTTGCACACCTCTGTGATTCACATATTTCTGCCATTTATTTTTTTTGTCTTACAGGGTTTCCCTCGGCAGTTGACTAGATTGTAGATCTCACCGTGGTGGGTCCAATTTGCCGCTTAGCTTCTAAGCGTGCGATGGACTAGATCTAGAAGATCTAGGTCACTAGGGTTTCATAGCCCACTGCTTGGATGTGTGTGCGTGCTTGTTTGTGTGTGTGTGTGTTCGTGCATGCGCGCGCTTTATGTGTGTGTGTGCACGCTTTTGTGTGTGTGTGTGTGTGCGCATCATGCGCGCTTAATTTTGTGCGTGTGGGCGTTTGTTTATGTGTGTGTGTGTTTATACACACATGTGTGTTAGTACCAGTTTGAGGAGGTCAATTTATGAAGATTTATAACACAAATGAGCCTAATTAATACGAAAAACCCTCCCCCCAAAACATGGCGAGATCATGTCAACAGTTACTGGTGAGTCGTGGCGAGGGAAACTCAAGAGTCCTGGGCTTGGGGGAAACCCCGGGAGACGACAAAAATAGAAGGCGGAAATAGGTCATCTATATTTAGGCCTATGACAGGTGTGCTAGGTGCTCGCTGTAGCTTGTGTAATAGACTCATGATTTAGATCTAGAATCTAGTATAGGACAGTCGACAACTTAGATCTCCTCTGTCTTAGATATCAGATATATGAATTACTGTTTACAAAACGCATTTAACAAGTAATTTTCATTCATTTTTATAGATCTAGTAGAATCTGTGTATACTAAACTCTAGTTATAGGAGATTCATAAGTCGACTCGATATATAAAAATTATTCTCGAAACAGGAAAATAGGCGAATAATAAAGGGGGGGGGGGGGGTGGTGGAAACTTACAGAGAAAAGCTCCCAAAATAGATTATAGTTCCTGTAGATATAATATACTTACTTACGTTTTACCCAGTTTAGAACAGTTAAAATCCTTAGATAAAAACTCTAGTAAATTAGAAATGGCTGGTTGGGAAAGATTGAGTAGAGCCAGAACCACAAGGAGGAGACAATTGGCCACACATAAGTTCATAAATAGTTCAGATGGACTTGAGAAACTGCTGCTGTGTGGAAAGATACTGTAGGACCCACCAGGCTCGGTACCTTATACACTTAAAATATATTCAAAGTTCTGGCTCTATAGCTGTATAATATATCATTAAAGTTTAGTGGGTGTGGCTTATTTATAGATATAATATAGGATACACAGGTGCGCTCAATAACATGAACTTTACAGTACAGCTGTTTGTTCTTCCTAGAACTCTGTCCCGACTAATCACTAAGCGACTTTACTTGCGTTATTTTCCTCCAGTGTGGAAATCGGTGAGTCTGTGCGAGGGGAGGATGTGTTCATCGTTCAAAGCGGCTGCAAAGAGGTCAATGACATGCTCATGGAGCTGCTCATCATGATCAACGCCTGCAAAATTGCTTCGGCGAGTCGGGTCACTGCGGTTATACCTTGCTTCCCGTACGCACGACAGGACAAGAAAGACAAGGTTCATCGTCTGTTTGTGATGAGATTGTAGTTTCGGCGATAACATTGCTTCTGTTTTTGGTGAATTCTTTGAAAGATGGTCTGCCTCAAAAGGTGTGCGGGTGGTTGGAGGGTGCCTCTGGTAGGCTGTACATCTTTGTCTTAACTTTCCCTCTGTTGTTTCTGTGACAATCTGTCTGTCTGTCTGACTTTTTCCTCAGCACTAAATGACCATTATTGTGGTGATGTGCTTTTCCTTTACTCAAAACAACAAAATCAAAATTTGTGCTAATTAAAATGCTTTCTGTATGTATGATTTTTTCTATTTGCAAGATGCACGGTAGCTGTAATGTCACATTCAATATAGTTCCTGCTTGGTGAGTGGTATGTCCTGCTTTGTTAAGTGTCAGGTGTGCTGTGGTATTTGGTTATGTCTTAGTCGTTGTTTCTAGATAAAGTGCATTGGGCTTCCTTCATAATATCATATGATAGAAAGCAAATTGTTTGACTGAATCCCTCTTGTATTTTTATCTTTAGTTAATGCAGAACAACATATATCTCTATTTTATTCTTCTCTGTATCGTGTCTGTTGATAATGTTATGTGTGATGGGGTATGTATACTTTCGATCTGACAGCACGAAACTATTATCTTGGAGGAGGGGGGGGGGGGTTGTTTTTCAACCTGGCATATCCCACCAGGCACTGAGAATACAGAAAACTGTATTGGCATTTAAAGTATTATTTAACTGATGGGATCCTTAGTTTGGTTCATTCGTCTTATCTAAATGTTTCGCAGTATGAATAACGTGTTGTGTTCCATTGTTTGAACAGTTTGTTGATCAGTTTTTCTTATTTTAGATGTTGTCTCATTCTTCTTTTTAAAGAGGTAATATTTTGGTTCTTCTAGTCTTGTTTTAGACGTTGGTTAAGATGATGCTTTCTACAGAAATTGCATATATTTATATTTTATACTTGAGCAATTGCCAAAACGTGAGACTCTCTTGAGACTCAGTGGTGCAAAAAAATTTTTCTTACCAATTTGACTCTCTTTTCTGTCAGTCACAGATTGACATTTAGTGCTCATATTCCTAGAGTATCAGAGCAAGGAGATGTACGGTTTTGGAGATATGGGTATATTGGTTTGGCAACTACTGTATTTCTTGTATGAAACAGTGATGACAAAAACAGATAAGCTGCAAGGCAAATAATGGACTTTAAATTCCATTTGTTTAGTAAACAAAGACTTTGTACACTATGAACTCCATTCATAATGGTAATATGAATGACAAGCTTTGTAACAATGACGCAGTGCACAGAACATGTCATCATTGTTATGTACAAGAAAGGATACACATTGGACATTATCATTGACAACACATCACAATAGTGAAAGGCTGTACAAATACAGTTATCAAAGCCTCAGTACCAGAAAAACACATGTGTAAAACAATTTTTAAGCTAATATGAGGCAAAAGCACAAAATCAATGGAGCTGACTTGTACATAACAGTGATGACAAACATGGCTTGTACATAACAATGATGACACAATGTACAGGAAAAGACAAAAGTCTTGCCTCCAGGGAGAAAAGCGCACTTTAAGAATTTAAAAAAAACAGGAGAGGTTTCTTTTGCTTTGAAACAGATATCGGGTTATATCAAAGACAGTGGACGATCACAATTATGTTGCTAATTATGACAAACAGTACTCGTACATAACAGTGATGACAAAACATACTGGGAAAAGGTAAAATCATGCCTACAAAGAACAAATTTGCACTAAGAGATACACGGATCAATAAAGGCGTATTTTGCTTCTAAATGAATCTTGCATATGTATGAAATATATGTTGAAAACTTATTGATATTAGCAATGATGAAAAATATTACTTGTACATAACAATGATGACACAATGTATTGGAAAAATGTATATCATACCAACAAAGAACAAATGTGTATTTTTGAGTTATACAGATAAACAAGAACATGTTTGTTTATTTGTTTGAGTAAAGAGAGCACACATTACTTTAAAAATGTTTGCTCTTAGGACAATGTAATTTCTCGTACGTCAGTCAGTCTTGTACGGCTGCATGACGACACCCCAAACGTCATCACTGAGCACAAAAGCTAAATCTATAGCCACAAAAATGATCCATCTCTCGAAGTTTGTTCACACATCACACTCTTGTTCCAGGAATCCAGTGTAAACACCGCAATTTCACTAAAATATTCAACAGAGTAGCCTAAAAATACGCAAAACAGCCCAGTACGTCACATTCAACACAAAATACTTGTGCGTCACCGGACGCTGAAGGCAATGACTACTTTCGTTTTTCTGTTTCCCCCGTTGCTTCCGTTGTTCTGGGGACGCGGGTAAGGGGAAGTCACTCAAGAAAACAATTATATCCGGGCACTTTTGATGACCTGTTCAAAACAAAAGTGGGCGAAATTCGCAAATTGACGACAATAACGGCGAATGTTCAACAGCCGACCGAAATCGTAGATCTAGGAACCCGATGTTCCTTTCGCGCATCGCGGCTTTTGAAGTATTGAATAAACGACGATAGGCAAAGAGATTTAACCAGCTACGGTGATTCTACTGAAAAATAATGGTGTTTTCTGAAACACCTAGTCCGTGACGACACGACAGACGCACAAGTAATCGGAATTGTTCGTCTATTTGCAAACAAATAAACCGATTTCTTGAGCAAGTTAACCTTTCTCAATGACAAATAGCATAGGATCAAAGCACACGTTAAAAAAACCCCCTAAATTTTGGACATTCTTGGAAGTTTGCATTGGTGTGCTCAAAATGACAGTCCAGGAATCACTAAAAAACGAACATTTTTGGCACAAAATGTACAAACTCAAGATTGTAAAGCTGACATGGGGTCTGAAACTGCTAATGCAGGTTCTACATCCTATATTTGACGTGTGTATACGTTTTGGAGGAATAAATACTAATGCATCACATTTTATGCACACTTTTGTGAGAAGTGTGTGTTTTTCCCCACGTTTTGGCAATGGCTCACTTTTTAATTTTAGCACAACAGTTATTCTCATTGTGTCCTTGGGAAAGGCACTTTACACGAACTTCCCACTTGGTTCGGTCCTATCGGAGACGGAAGTTAAACTAGGAGGTCCCACCCCTTAAATAACTTAATAATAGTGTTGAAAGGGGGGGCGTTAAACCCGTACCATTGACCATTTCAACAGTTCTTCTCCCCGTACACCGTCATGTGCCTTAGGCGGAGAACAGTGGACATCAGGCTTGTCTTTCCCTGGCCACCTGTAGCACAACAGCCCTGCTGGTAACACTTACAGTACCATCGGCGATTGAAGTCGCCAGGCCGTAGTATGCGCTCACTACCGCTGGCGACTTTAGTCGCAGACACAATCAGGCACACTAAATATAATTAAACGATGAATGGACTCACTGCACTGAAGTAAATACCAAAGGAAGTCTCTGTATATGACAGCTGAATGGTTGATGACCCTCTGAATTTTTTCAGTATGGTTCTTAGGCTGCCAAGGTTGTTTTTTTTAATTAAAAAAAAAAAATCTTCCATGGCTTCAGCAACCTAAATTGTTGTGGTTTCAAGATATGAGCCTTCGGTACTGTATGTGTTAATTGAGGGAAACATGTTAGAATAAGAATGGACTGATGAAAGTGTACTTACTTTGTTCAAGTTTAAAAGTGTTTAGCTCTAGCCAGCATGTTCGGTACAAATAATTATATAAGATTTCTCTGTCCTCAGAGCCGAGCCCCGATCTCTGCCAAGCTGGTGGCCAACATGTTGTCTGTGGCAGGAGCCGACCACATCATCACCATGGATCTCCACGCCTCCCAAATTCAGGTCAGATGGGGAAAAGGCATTTTCCTTTTTTGGATTGTGTTTAAAACTTTGTAAAAATCGTAGGTCTTTTGTTCAGTGATGCCTGTGTACATTATATTATAGTTCTGTGGGTCTTGCAAGAACGCTCAAGTAAAGTCTCGTATAATTATTAAAGTGTTTGTATTGTTTTTTGTAAATTAATATATCGATCCAGTGGTTAGCATTTTGACATTAATAAATATTTTTAATTGCAAAAGATTTGACATTGGTGAATATTTTTAATGCTAATGTTTTGATTTTGGTATTGAGGGGTATTTTTATTTTAGTGCTAAAAATTTGACATTTACGAATATTTTTTATGCCAACTGTAAGAAATATCAGTGCTAGGAATGAGATTGATAGCAGTGAATTTAATCGTGATATACATCGTGTACAAAAATTAAGTATAGGTGACTTAAGTATCGTAAAAATAACCTTTAAAAAGAATGCAATCAATTTGGAAATGTTAGAACTGACCTCGTTGTGTCATAGAGCTTGACAGAAGTCTAGTTTAAAGTTGATGTTTACTGTGTCTTTGTCTCTGTTTTGGGTTCCCAATGTTGTGACCTCAGTGCTTTCTTGTCATGTCTCCATTTTTTGAGCAGTAAAAAATGTGTACGCTCCCTTTTTGTTATGAACTGTTTTCACTGTTATTAAAACTGGAGATAGGACAAGAAAGCACTGGTGTCGCGATGTGTTTATTGCTCAACTAACCTTTGATGTTTTGATGAAATCTTTTGAAGGGTTTCTTTGATATCCCCGTGGACAACTTGTATGCGGAGCCAGCGGTCTTGAAGTGGATCAAGGAAAATATTTCCGACTGGAGGAATTGTACTATTGTCTCGCCGGACGCCGGGGGGGCCAAAAGGTGAGCAGTGAGGAAGATATCAAGTGGGAGACAGCGTGCTGAAATCAGGCACTCGTCAAAATAAGGAAATCCAAGAAACAGGTTCTCTCCCCCCCCCCCTCCCCCTCCGTTTGGCTATTTTTGTCGAATTTTTGTTTTTTGGCTTAACACCTTATATAACTGCATTTCCATGTGAATTTTACTGAAAAACCTTGATTAATGGCGTAAAATATGTAAATTTTCAGTTTTCAAGGACTATCAAGCTCGCTCTAGAAGTTACCAAACTTCGGCGGCCATTTTCTTGCAAATTTTACCGCAGAAAACAGGGTGCCCTCCCCTCCTTCAATCGCAAATATCTCGACTTTTATTCAAGATAGATGGGTATTTTTTTTTCACCAAAAGGAAGGCAAATGAACACGTTTTAAGATTATACCAATAATCCCCATATGCTCAAAAATTGACGATCGCCCGATCCCAACTCGTCGTGACACATATATTACATTAGTTGAACGTTTCTGGTTGAGGACGTGGTCAAGAATGTAAGTGAGAACTTTTACAATGTGAAATGTCAATGGATGTTGTTGTGTTGTTTTCTTCTATGACCATGATTGATATTGTTTGTTTGTGTGTGCTTGAGTGTGTGCGTGCATTCGAGAATGCATGGAGATAGGGAGAGAGAGGTTCACTTTATACTATTTAAGAACAGAACACTTGAAAAGTTAATTACTAATATTTTTTGTTTGTTTCACGCTGAAAGTTTGATTACCATTATGATTATCCATCTTGAAGCCTGAATTTTTAGCAAGACATTTAAACAAGAAAATTTATGGGTTTTTTAAACTGGAATGAAATATGTTATAAGTGCTAGCCTTAAGAGTCGTGTACACGTGCGATTGATTTTTGTTTAAAAAATTAATCATCCCCCCCCCCAGAGTGACGGCCATAGCAGACCGACTGAACGTGGACTTTGCCCTGATCCACAAGGAGAGGAAGAAGGCCAATGAGGTGGCCGCCATGGTTCTGGTCGGCGACGTCAAGGACAAGATCGCCATCCTGGTCGATGATATGGCAGACACGTGTGGCACCATCTGTCATGCTGCCGAAAAGTATGTGTCATTTTGTGTCTTTTTTCCCCTTCCCCTCCCCCTTTATGCAGTTGCAAGCGCTGTAAAATTCTTACCAGAATGACGGCACTTAGATGACCTTATTTTGTTGCAAGTGCCATAAAACACTTACCAAAATGAAACGTAAACATTTTAGCGGGGTTTTAAAAACATTTTTTATTCCTACTTTTAAATCTTTGAATTTACTATACACATTTATTTGCTGCTTTTTGTTTGTAACACTGGGGTTCTGAAGATACTAATTTTTTTCCTGTAAATTCCGATTTTTTGGGAGGATTTTGAGTGAAGCTATTTTTGGCCACGGAATAGTTGGCAGGAGCTGTAGTCTGTAGTGTGGTGTGTAGCTGTAGTCTGTAGTGTGGTGTGTAGCTGTAGTCTGTAGTGTGGTGTGTAGCTGTAGTCTGTAGTGTGGTGTGTAGCTGTAGTCTGTAGTGTGGTGTGTAGCTGTAGTCTGTAGTGTGGTGTGTAGCTGTAGTCTGTAGTGTGGTGTGTAGCTGTAGTCTGTAGTTTGGTGTGTAGCTGTAGTCTGTAGTGTGGTGTGGAAAAGTTGGCAGGAGCTGTAGTCTGTAGTGTGGTGTGGAAAAGTTGGCAGGAGCTGTAGTCTGTAGTGTGGTGTGGAAAAGTTGGCAGGAGCTGTAGTCTGTAGTGTGGTGTGGAAAAGTTGGCAGGAGCTGTAGTCTGTAGTGTGGTGTGGAAAAGTTGGCAGGAGCTGTAGTCTGTAGTGTGGTGTGTAGCTGTAGTCCGTAGTGTGGTGTGTAGCTGTAGTCTGTAGTGTGGTGTGTAGCTGTAGTCTGTAGTGTGGTGTGGAAAAGTTGGCAGGAGCTGGAGTCTGTAGTGTGGTGTGTAGCTGTAGTCTGTAGTGTGGTGTGTAGCTGTAGTCTGTAGTGTGGTGTGTAGCTGTAGTCTGTAGTTTGGTGTGTAGCTGTAGTCTGTAGTGTGGTGTGTAGCTGTAGTCTGTAGTGTGGTGTGTAGCTGTAGTCTGTAGTGTGGTGTGTAGCTGTAGTCTGTAGTGTGGTGTGTAGCTGTAGTCTGTAGTGTGGTGTGTAGCTGTAGTCTGTAGTTTGGTGTGTAGCTGTAGTCTGTAGTGTGGTGTGTAGCTGTAGTCTGTAGTGTGGTGTGTAGCTGTAGTCTGTAGTGTGGTGTGTAGCTGTAGTCTGTAGTGTGGTGTGTAGCTGTAGTCTGTAGTTTGGTGTGTAGCTGTAGTCTGTAGTGTGGTGTATAGCTGTAGTCTGTAGTTTGGTGTGTAGCTGTAGTCTGTAGTTTGGTGTGGAAAAGTTGGCAACTGTGAGCTGTACGTTACACTATTCGGGGAAAGAGGAAGGTTAATTATTCTCTATCTAGAGTTTGGTTTTTTCCCTGGTGTCTCTCTGCTTCTTGTCACACACACACTGTCTGAGCCTGGGGAGAATTTTGGATTTATAAGTTTGGTATCTGGCTGCATTGATCAAAAGCTGTGGCCATATTTCTTCTTTTTTTTTTTTTTGCTGGTACATTTACAGTATAATGAGACAACGGAGCACAGCTTGATGTTTGTCATTCATGTAGAGTGAAAGTTATTTGCATATTTATGAGTAGTGATAAAAGATCTGGATGGAACCTTGTGCAAGCGAGCAGCTGGTTCTGTTACATGACAATAATGTGCTTTTGACAAAAATCATTGAGAGATTTTATGACCACCACTGTCTAAAAGATATGTATGTTGGGGATGTGTCCAGTTCGGTAGACTCCTCTGTGCCGACCGCGGCGAGAACATGTTTGTGTCAGATGAAGTATTTAGGCACGGATGTTGTGAGGGGCAGGTTCTCGTCTGAGCTGTCCCCACAGTTTTATACCCAAAAAAATGTTGAAATTATGCAAACTGTGCCCAAAAATGTGAAATTATGCAATCCTGTTAATTTCAACAAAGAATAATAAAGGAAAATAATTTGAAATTATGCAAAAAGAATGATCATATTTGGCTAAATTATGCGGGGTGCGTAAAACCAGGGCAACAGTCTGAGAGAAGTTGATCACGACTGACATGACATCTCTGTTCATTGGTCAAAGACAAGGTGAAAAAAGCCACACTCAAACTCTCCGTAAAGTAACGTTCGTCTCAGCCTTTTTTGACCCAGGCTATTTGCTACAAGGAATGTCTACATATTGTGTTGGTATATTTTCATCAGTTCCAGCGTCGACATGGTAATTAAAACTTATTTCGAGATCCCTGAAAATGTCAAGTTCTGTTCCCCCCCACCCCCGGGCAGTGCTACTGACTGAAGTCTTTAGGCCATTCCGAACGAAAGGGGGGACATTAACATGTTCTTATGCACAGTAAAATTGTAAGTGGGCTGATTTTTCAATATCATGCTCATACTGTGCCGGAACAACATAGGGGGAACTGCTGCTTTTTCTTTCCTCATCCTTACTATCGTCATTTTCCTCTACTTCTTTTGTATGTTTGTCTCTCTCTTGTGACCCGCTATTTCCGGGGTGCCTTGATAGTTGAAGCAGACTTTGTGCTGTTGAGGCTAGAGAGGTGAGCAGAGTAAGCCTGATTCCTCGTTTGGACTTCTTTGTTGACATCCAGCCTTTGGCGCTCATATGGCCTTATGCAGTTGCGAGCGCCGTAAAACCTTACTGTAACTAAATGTCAGGTTGTGTAGGTTTGTAGTGACACCTGGAAATGTCTAGTTGTGTAGGACTGTAGTGACACCTGGAAATGTCTAGTTGTGTAGGACTGTAGTGACACCTGGAAATGTCTAGTTGTGTAGGACTGTAGTGACACCTGGAAATGTCTAGTTGTGTAGGACTGTAGTGACACCTGGAAATGTCTAGTTGTGTAGGACTGTAGTGACACCTGGAAATGTCTAGTTGTGTAGGACTGTAGTGACACCTGGAAATGTCTAGTTGTGTAGGACTGTAGTGACACCTGGAAATGTCTAGTTGTGTAGGACTGTAGTGACAGTTATTTGGTCCATGTTTCCCTACAGACTGCTGGAGGCCGGTGCCCAAAAAGTCTACGCCATCTGCACCCACGGCATCTTCTCTGGCCCGGCCATCTCTCGCATCAACAACTCCATGTTCGAAGCTGTGGTGGTGACCAACACGATACCTCAGGATCAGCGCATGAAGGAAGCGCCGAAAGTACAGGTGAGCAGATGGAACCTTTAGCGTAACTTTACCAGTACATTTGCTTAGTATAATATATTTGCTGCAAAGGCACCTCCTAGTTGATTACCAGAAATTAAAAAAATTAATGAAAGTGTCTTTTGCTATTCTCGACTTGCACTGCGTAAGCTGTGTGTAAATATTCAAGTGAAATTAACGGAGCCATCACAATCCTGACTTCAAGTGATAATGTTGTTGCATATATGACTGAACAGCTTTTTTTTCCCCTGCTTGATTTTCCTTTCCTCCCTCTCCTTGTATCTGTTCTTGCATTTCTCACAAACATGGTAGTTTGGATATTTACCATACCGGTTGCATGGACATCTAGTTTTTTTTTTTTTGTTGTTGCATTTTCTCCTCCCAGCAGGAGTTGAGGTGGTAGACATTGCCAATGATCTCTGTTGTGACTAATCTGCCTTTACCGTTTTCTTTACGGCCATCACCTGACAATATCGTGCAGCCACTAAGAAATCTTTTTGGCGAGGCTGTTCCGAAATTTTTTGTTTTTTGGAGCATGTGGAAATCCTGGTGCTTCCCCCGGCATTAAACTAGGTGGGTATGTGTAGCTCGCTGAGCTGTGGCTGTTTGCCTGTTTGTGTGTCTGCTTGTCTGTGTATGTTGGTGTCTCCTCGTTATTTTACCCCGAGTACCCGTGTAGTTGTGCAAATAGCAGCCTGTGAGTGCCGCCCTGTCCCTGTGTGTCCTCGTTGTCTCACTGCCTACCCTCGTTGTCTCACTGTCTACCCTCGTTGTCTCACTGTCTACTCGGAGCGTTCTCACAGAATTCACTGCCTCGAAGCTGGAAGGGTTTTAGTAGAGAACATGATGTTGTTTTATGTTTCAACCACCCAGACAAATTTTTCCCTCAGAGAAGAAGTCAGATTGTCATTGGTGTCCCTGTGTCTGTGTTGGGAGAGTTTGTCTGTAGACCTGCCATTATTTGCCTCGAGAGCTTTGCAGAGGGAGATTGTACTGTGAAGGGAAGGGAGGGGGGGGGGTATGCTCAAAATGTGTCAATGTACTTTTCTTTATTCACCCTTGGGAACAAATGGGTGTGAGTGTGCGTGTGTCAGTGTGTCGCGGAAAGAAACGGGATGATGTGGGGACTGTGTGACGGTACATGGGTTGTTTTTTAGATTGTGTTTGGTTCAACATGGTTCAGCATGTTTCAACATGTTAGCGCGCTCATATAACCTTAGCAGTTGCGAGCGCCGTAAAACCTTATACTATACATATATACAACATGTTACATGTGAACTTGTTGGGGTTTTTATTCTCTTTTTGTTATTTCAACAAAATATTCCGTCAAGATGCAGAAAAATTTGTGGGTGGTTGGTGGTCTTTTGTGGTCTGTCCCTTCTTTCATATCAAACATCTATGGCCCTTATCTCTCCTCCTTCTTTCAGATCAAACATCTATGGTCCTTATCTCTCCTCCTTCTTTCATATCAAACATCTATGGCCCTTATCTCTCCTCCTTCTTTCATATCAAACATCTATGGCCCTGATCTCTCCTCCTTCTTTCATATCAAACATCTATGGCCCTTATCTCTCCTCCTTCTTTCATATCAAACATCTATGGTCCTTATCTCTCCTCCTTCTTTCATATCAAACATCTATGGTCCTTATCTCTCCTCCTTCTTTCATATCAAACATCTATGGCCCTTATCTCTCCTCCTTCTTTCATATCAAACATCTATGGCCCTGATCTTTCCTCCTTCTTTCATATGAAACATCTATGGCCCTGATCTCTCCTCCTTCTTTCATATCAAACATCTATGGCCCTTATCTCTCCTCCTTCTTTCATATCAAACATCTATGGTCCTGATCTCTCCTCCTTCTTTCATATCAAACATCTATGGCCCTGATCTCTCCTCCTTCTTTCATATCAAACATCTATGGCCCTTATCTCTCCTCCTTCTTTCATATCAAACATCTATGGCCCTGATCTCTCCTCCTTCTTTCATATCAAACATCTATGGCCCTTATCTCTCCTCCTTCTTTCATATCAAACATCTATGGCCCTTATCTCTCCTCCTTCTTTCATATCAAACATCTATGGCCCTGATCTCTCCTCCTTCTTTCATATCAAACATCTATGGCCCTTATCTCTCCTCCTTCTTTCATATCAAACATCTATGGCCCTGATCTCTCCTCCTTCTTTCATATCAAACATCTATGGCCCTGATCTCTCCTCCTTCTTTCATATCAAACATCTATGGTCCTGATCTCTCCTCCTTCTTTCATATCAAACATCTATGGCCCTGATCTCTCCTCCTTCTTTCATATCAAACATCTATGGTCCTTATCTCTCCTCCTTCTTTCATATCAAACATCTATGGCCCTTATCTCTCCTCCTTCTTTTTTGTGATTGTTACTCTCTTGTAACACCTCTAATCTTTGGCACTTGTCAGTTTGTTAGTGTTTGAGCGCTTAATCGGCTGCTCGCACTGTATGCTTCCCGGGAAGCTGAGAATGTTTCGGAGTGTTATATGGTCTGCTGGGGTAATAATATAGTGTAAAGCGCATAGAGCCTGCTGTTGAGCGGGGATATGCGCTATACAAATGCTATCTATTATTATTATTATTATTACTTTTTGACCTTATTTTGTTGCAAGTGCCGTAAAACTTGCTAAAACAAAACAAGCAAAACCAGAAAAGTTCCCAATGCCTAGATGTAGCCCGCTGCTCTTAATGTATTTGAAAAAAAACCTCCGTAAAACGTTGTGCTTGTTGTTGGGACGCCCAAAGGTGTTTGGTGTTTTGGCATGTGTAGCGTGGTCTTATCTCCTGGGCTGTGCACGCACGGACTGGCCACTTGGTGTTTGTCTCGCTCAGGCTGTTTACGGAGATCGTATCTGCTTCCTGTTTGTTGCCAGTAAATGCTTACGGTAGAGCCCTGTCCTGTTCTGCGCCTCATGTACTGTTTGCTGTGGTTACATTCTCATTTCAGCTGCAGCACAGTTGTCTTTAGACTCCTGTACTTATCAGGAATTTTTCAGTTGTAATGCTATGTAATTATTTGCTGACTTCCATTTGATTTTGTTGTCAGTTAATTGGCTTTATGCTCACATTAATTAACATTTTTTAAAAGAATGTGAAATGAATGGTGATTTATGATTGTGTTCAGCTGTGCACATTTGTGAAATAATGTCAGTAATGCAGCTAGGGTCTCATGACTAGGAGAGTCCTTCATCATCTTGTTTCCACCACTCTTTGGGTGATTTATCATGAAATTAGCTCGGCATTGTTCAGTTATTACATCTGTTTGGGTGATTTATTATGAAATCGGCTCTACATTGTAGTTTTCAGTTCCCATCATCTTTTTCCCAATTGTTTTGATAAAAGTTTTAAACTGATACAATGCATTGCAGCTCAACAGTCTTCGTAAATATGTTGCATTGACTCTTTGTATTACAAAGTCGTGGCCATATGTGCCCTACCATAGCAGCCCTACTTTTCCTTTTAAAAAAGATATATATATATATATATATATATATATATATATATATATATATATATATATATATATATATTTGTTTCAATATTGTACAGCTTGTACTGCTGAGTGTCACTGTGTTCCTGGCTCATCCCCCCCCCCCCCCTCCCTTTTGTTTGTTACCTGTGTGTAGTTTTCCTGGGTTGTAAAGGTAAAGGCCTCTTGTCCTCTCTTTGATTGGAAATTGTACATTTTTCTTTTCTTCTTTTTTTTTTTTGTGGGGAGGAAGGCAGGGCTGGGGGGGGGGGGGGTCCTCTCATCTGTACCTGCAGCCTATAGTACAGGGTGATCCATAAATACTGTACAACTTTCTTGTTAATAGTTCCCTCCACACTGACGTTTTGCTTTTCAAATTTGCTCACAACATTTGGAAGTCAAAAGGAATTTGTCTGATATTCATTTTAGATAAATCCACAAAATAGTTTTGCTCTACATAGCATGTTAAAAACAACCCATTTTCAGCTATGTCCCAATGTGGACCGTTGAGATAAAGGAAAGTCATTGCTGCAGACATCATCTACGGACAGACGTCTCACGGGGCTCATCTACTGAATGCTGCACCCTGGTGACATTTAAAGGGGTGCAAAGGGTGTGTGTTTGACCCAAAGTGGTCGTTTTTGTCTGGGGATTTTTAGTTTTGATTCTCTACAGGTCCTAACTGATGGACCACTTCCACCCGTGACATCAAACAAGGCACTAAGGGCACTGCAACATTATTTCCGTACCTTGTGCGAAACTTACCAAATGAGTTGGTGGTGAGGAAATGTTCCATACAAAAAGCTCTCTGCTCTTTATTAACCTTAACCATGATCTCAGCAGGCAAAGGAAACTTGAGAAAAACTATCTGCAAACTTCTGTTTGCCTGTATAACTACTGTAGTTTGAAATGAGGTGCAATCGTTGGGATTTTTAGTGGTAGGCCTAATGCGAACTAGTGGGTCATGCTGCTTATGTACTTATTCCTCCATCATTATCAACTCCCTCCGTAAAAAGCTGCGACAGCGTAGGACTACCGAAATTCCGTAGCAAAAGATCCGTACTCGCTTCGTATCGTCTAGTACTAGTAGAAGTTACGGATATTTACGGTAATTCTCTCGGCAATAAGTTAATGTTAATGAAACCTGCCAGATTGTGCATTTCCTGCAATGGGCCATTATTCCACTATGCCCCATGCATTCATTGCTGGTTAGTCGGCAGTACATTTACCTGTGGGTCGATTAAGTTCTGGCGAACTTTTTGTGTCAATTTTCTCCTTTCTATCATTCACTCATTCCTTCTGTCTATCTTTTGACTGTTGCCGCGGCTGGAAAATCTGCGCGTTGATCGAGTTAATTGACTTGTGATCTTAGACAGAAAATTACTGTCCGAAAGAAACTTTTTTACAAATTTGTCTTGATCTAGAAAAATTATCAGTGCGAAGATTCTACGGCACGGGAACGCGATAAGGGCCGTGATGAAAGAAATTTATGCTAAAACCAGCCTGAAACTACTATCTAAAGTCAAGAATAATTTGAAGTGTTGTTCCGAGGTTGTGACATCCGACATTCAGACGTGAAATTTAAGGGAAATTAGGGTATATGCTGGCGGGTAACTGTATTGTGAAGGTACATATCTATTCATTATTCCCAGGTTTGCCTTCTTTCAATGGTGTGACGACAAATTAATTGAATTATAGCAGCAATGGAGGGGAGCCTGCTTCTAAACATTGTTGTCAATGGAAAGATATTATGTAGATCTTGGGGAAGAAATCAGACAAGACATGTTGGTGAAAATAGAAATGTTAGTTTGTCGGCAATTTCTTCAAACAGGCTCTCAAATGCGATTTTCAACCCTCTAAAAGCACTACATTTCAATTTCTAATTAGGGCTTCGCTCCCTGATCCCCCACGGGGACGCTGTCCCTGATCCCCCACGGGGACGCTGTGCCTGATCCCCCACGGGGACGCTGTCTGTCCCTGATCCCCCACGGGGACGCTGTCCCTGATTCCCCACGGGGACGCTGTCTGTCCCTGATCCCCCACGGGGACGCTGTCTGTCCCTGATCCCCCACGGGGACGCTGTCTGTCCCTGATCCCCCACGGGGACGCTGTCTGTCCCTGATCCCCCACGGGGACGCTGTCTGTCCCTGATCCCCCACGGGGACGCTGTCCCTGATTCCCCACGGGGACGCTGTCCCTGATTCCCCACGGGGACGCTGTCTGTCCCTGATCCCCCACGGGGACGCTGTCTGTCCCTGATCCCCCACGGGGACGCTGTCTGTCCCTGGACCCTGCTGGTTGCAGCCCCCACGCCCGCGCAGAATTTTCCTTACTTTTCAGCTTGGGCTGGTGGAAGCACTGGGTCTTGTGTTGGTAGAAGGTTCTCTTGTCTTTGATCTTGTCCCGTGAGTAGTCAGGTCTGTCAGCTCATGAAATGTCCACTCTTTTCTTCACTCTTCCAAGAGCTATTCCTTTTGTCATCGTTGGAGAGAGGATACTAGGCCATCTGAGATAGTGGGTGGTTGGCGGGTGCTCTGCTGTGGTTTGTTTCTTCTTTCCTATCAGACATCTATTGTCTTTATCTTTCCTCCTTTTTTGTGTATGTTGCTCTCTAGTAAAACCTGTAATCTTCTACACTTATTGTGTTGCAAGTGCCGTAAAACACTTACTAAAACTAAGACGTCTGAGATAGAGATGTCTGAAAAGATGACAAGAAAGTCAATTTTCCAAAGCAACTTTGTCTTGTAGTTGGCACATTGTTCATTGATGGATTGGTGGGCTCCCCTGGTATTGGACTGTTTTGGCCGTCAAAATACGAGTGTGGACGACTGCTGAGCTAAAACAGTTTGGGGGGGGGGGGGGGGGGTCAGCTGCATTCAAATCTGACCCAGAAATGAAATCTGTGAATGACCCGAAGAATGTTGTGCTGCAGTCTTTTCTGCCACTGATTTCCTTATTGCCGTTGTCTGTGTCTGCTTCTTGGCTTAGTGGAGACTTTTTCACGCTGACTTGTCGTAAACTACCGCTCTGCTCAACTCTCGTAGCCCTTTCTCAGGGTTCATACATGTCTTGGAAAACTGGAAAACTCTTGGAATTTTGGAAAAGTCCTGGAAAAACAAATTTTTAACTAGATCTATAGTGAAAATATTTCCTCGAAGTTTAGAAAGCCTCGACTTTACGCATTCTCAAGTGTACCATAGTGTATTTTTGCTGAACGGAAAATTTTCTCCCAAAATGACACGCTATTCTTGGAAAAGTCTTTGATAAAAAATATCTCCTGCTTCCTGCTATGTAGCGCCTCGAGTCAGTCTGTGTCCCTCCAGCACCGCCCGGCAGATGTAGGCTTCTCTTCACCACTGATTTATTTACAAGCTGGCAGACAAATATGTTCCTCTATAGTGTTCTCATCTCAAACTTCTGTGTGAGTGGGTGGTTGACGGCTGCCCTGCTGTGGTTTGCTGCTTCTTTTTTCCTATCAAACATCTATCGTCCTTATCTCCCCTCCAGTGGGTGGTTGGCGGGTGCTCTGGTGTGGTTTGCTTTTTCTTTCCTATCAAACATCTATCGTCCTTATCTCCCCTTCTTCTTTTTCATGTTTGTTACTCTCTTGTAACACCTCTAATCTTCAGGCGCTCATATGACCTTATGCAGTTGCAAGCACCGTAAAACCTCTACTAGAACTAACTATCTCCCCTCCTTTTTTGTTTGTTACTCTCCTGCAACACCTAATCTTCGGCACTTACATGACATTATTGTGTTGCAAGTGCCGTAAAACACAACATTAAAAAAACCTTCTGTGTCTGTTTTTATTACTCAAGCACTCAAAGATTATAGCTGTGAAGATATGTTTCTTTTGAGCCCTGATGTATTTTGCAAACTGACGGGAAAAAGTGTTCTCCTTAGAGTTCTTGTTTCAAACTTTTGTTTCTGATTTTGTCGTGAACACGGGAGTCATGTTTATTTTTGAGGAAAAAATCCCCAGTGGAATCTGTCGAGTGTTTTAGAGAGGTCCGTCTGTCTGTGTGTCTTTACGTGTCGTAGGAAGCTTTGACGTTTTTATTTTGTTGGATGTTATGATGTTTGTTTGGTTTTTTCCTTTTTCAGTGTCACGTGTGCATTTTATGATGGGAAATTTGATTTATACTAAGGATGTTTATTGCGCTGTTATCTTTGGTGGATGGTAGAGGGGTTCTCCTTTGATTTAAAAAAACAACAACCTAAAGCTGAAATGTCAGTGTTGGACAAGTGGGAGGGTAGCCAGCAGGAAAAGTCTCCATCACTTTGGACGTGTTCAGTCATCTCATGGGCAAACTTTACTGAAGAAAGATTAAGTAACTGTGTGTGAACACATATGATAGAATTCCTTTTTTTTCTTTCTACAAAGCATTTTTCAGAGTGACTATTTGAGGTGGATTTAGAAATTGACAGAGATGAAGTGAATGCTTTTGTACATATGTGGGACTGCTGGGAAGGGGAAACTGTTTGGATATAGCTGATGTTTTGTACTTGGGTTTTCATGGGTGAACCTCATTTTGTTTTTCGTGGTGGGTGGTTAGCGGGTGCTGTGGTGTAGTTTGCTTCTTCTTTCCTATCAAACATCTATTGTCCTTATCTCCCCTCCTTCTTTTTTGTGTTTGTTACTCTCTTGTAGCACCTCTAATCTTCGGCACTTATATGACCTTATTGTGTTGCAAGTGCCATAAAACACTCACTAAAACTTAAAAACTAAGATAATGGACGTCTTGTTTTTCGTTGTGTTTGTTCTCAGATAATGGACATCTCCATGATCCTAGCGGAGGCGCTACGGAGGACGCACAACGGGGAGTCTGTGTCCTACCTGTTTGGTCATGTCCCCATGTGAGATGTGAGCCGCCGGACTTTCTCCGACGGGCTGGGGGTGTCGGGGAGGTTTTGTCAGCGTGATGGACCCCACCACCACCACTACCATGGCAGAGTTGTTGTTATCGATCCAGACCTTGGCAGAGAAGCTGGGGATCTGTGGAGGAGAATCTGGAAATTCCTTTTGTGTTCATTTTTCTGTGTGTCATTCAACAACATGTGTGTGATTGTGTTCAGGAACAGCATAAGATATTTGGTCGCTTTTAAGGACAAGTGGGCTAACCCAGATTTCGGGGATTTCCAGAAATCTTGACCTTCACCAAAAGAGGGCATTGCCCTACCTATAGGAAAAGTTTGGTTTCTTTGGTGTGTGTATTTGTTTGGTTATAGAGAAAACTCTCCTTGTCTTTTATAGAGACTGAACAAGGGGCAAAAACTTTACCTTCGATTTTCTCAAAACAGCTTTTTTCGGGATAGCCCCCCTTGTGCTTAAAAGCGACCATTTATTCTTATTGAAAGATATTACTTGTGTGAAATACGCACGCACGACAGAAGACACCCCCATATCAACCAATTACCATAGCTGCTGATCTTGAATTCTAGACATTAGAGTGAGGGAGATAATCCAACTCAAAACCCTCTCAACTCTTGTTTTCTGTGATTGGTGAGAAACATGGGCGCTTGGCGGGGGCTGTGGTGTTGTTATGCAATGTACATACTCTTCTACTGGAATCATAATTGATTATATTGTTATATATGTGTACATATTTACTTTTTTTCTTTTAGATTGGTGGTTATGTGGGTGTAGACGTCCTTGCTACCCTGACGTACAAACTTTTTCTGCTCACTACGTAGTTTTCAGAAATTTGACATTAAAAATGTTGAATTTCATATGTGTAAAACTTTTGTATCCAGTTCTTTGAATATCTTGATAACGACTCCGAATCATTTATGATTTTGATAGAGGGGATTCTAGAACATTTGGTTTCTGACTGTATGGTCTTAATAAGAACTGACAACGGCCCAAAATGTCGAGACAGAACTTTGTAATTCTGAGTGAGGAAGCGATGTGTTACTGACACAGAAACAAGGCTCCGTGGATGGGATGGACGTGTGTGGGGGTCAGAATTAGCATCCAGCTGCCAGCGACAGTTTTAGTTCAAAGAATATGTCTGGGTGTCAGACATCAGGGCTCTGGTGTGGTTTGCTTCTTCTTTCCTATCAAACATCTATCGTTTTTGTCTCCCCTTCTTCTTTTTTGTGTTTGTTACTCTCTTGTAACACATCTAATCTTCTGCACTTCTATGACCTTATTGTGTTGCAAGTGCCGTAAAACTCGTAGAGAAACTAACTGGACGTCAGGGTCCTAGATAGATGAAGAGAGACTAATGTTTTTGTTTCTGGGAAAGACAGGTCTGAATCAAGCCTGATGCAGTGTTTGTGCTGGATGGATAACAACAACATGCAGTGTTTGTGCTGGATGGATAACAACAACATGCAGTGTTTGTGAGATGTGCTGTCCCTCCGTTCTTCCATGCTGCTGTTCTCATTTTTTGCTTCCGGTGCTTGTGTGAATACTGAATGTCAGTGCCATAAAAATCTGTCCCACTTATACCGCTACAGAGGAACAATCTAGGCATTCAGCGTTACTCGGTCGTATCTAGAGTTTTGTCGGTTTTCTCTCGCACCTGTGTGTAGTGTATGGCTACCTCGAGAACCTGAATCTGACACTTGCATAGTTAAATTGTCGTCCTTATGCAGTTGCGAGCATCGTAAAACTCTTACTGAAACAAAAACAGTTTGTCGGAGAATGTCTTGACAGCAATCTTGGATCCATGTCTACGCCGTATTTCCTTGTTGCTGATACGACAAGAAAGCACGGAGGTCGCGAATTGATTTTTTTTGTTTTTGTAGTTTGGTGCTCAAAGCAATGGTATATTTTTTGCTTCTTACTCTTTTTTGTTTGAAGTCCCCGAGCGACGACACATATTTAGTGTCTGTCGTTTTTGTGACTTCTGTTTGTGTGAGTTCTTTGACATAGTGGTACGGTGCTTACTTTGTAGGTCATTGGTTGTACCTTTGACATAGTGGTACGGTGCTTACTTTGTTGGTCGTTGGTTGTACCTTTGCTGTCTGCGTAGTGGGAGCGGTTTCTTTTATCATGATTATTTTCTTGTTGAATTAATGCATACAACAGTCTCCCGTGAGTGGGTGGCTGGCAGGTGTTCTGGTGTGGCTTGCTCCTTCTTTCCTATCGAACATCTATCGTCCTGATCTCTCCTCCTTCTTTTTTATGTTTGTTACTCTCTTGTAACACCTCTTATCTTCGGCACTTATATGACCTTATTGTGTTGCAAGTGCCGTAAAATTCTTACTAAAAATTGTTAAGTCTCCCATGAGATTGATTTCTGGGTATGTAAACATCTGTGGGAGACCGTGGAAGCTTTCGTTGTGCCTGCATGTGCTGGGTATGTAAACATCTGTGGGAGACCGTGGAAGCTTTCGTTGTGCCTGCATGTGCTGGGTATGTAAACATCTGTGGGAGACCGTGGAAGCTTTCGTTGTGCCTGCATGTGCTGGGTATGTAAACATCTGTGGGAGACCGTGGAAGCTTTCGTTGTGCCTGCATGTGCTGGGTATGTAAACATCTGTGGGAGACCGTGGAAGCTTTCGTTGTGCCTGCATGTGCTTACTTTTGTTTTTGACACAGGTGAATGAGTGATGTGTGTCAGTTTTGAGTGATGTGTGTCAGTTTTGAGTGATGTGTGTCAGTTTTGAGTGATGTGTGTCAGTTTTGAGTGATGTGTGTCAGTTTTGAGTGATGTGTGTCAGTTTTGAGTGATGTGTGTCAGTCTTGAATGATGTGTGTCAGTTTTGAGGGATGTGTGTCAGTTTTGAATGATGTGTGTCAGTTTTGAATGATGTGTGTCAGTTTTGAGTGATGTGTGTCAGTTTTGAGTGATGTGTGTCAGTTTTGAGTGATGTGTGTCAGTCTTGAATGATGTGTGTCAGTTTTGAGGGATGTGTGTCAGTTTTGAATGATGTGTGTCAGTTTTGAATTATGTGTGTCAGTTTTGAGTGATGTGTGTCAGTTTTGAGTGATGTGTGTCAGTCTTGAATGATGTGTGTCAGTTTTGAGGGATGTGTGTCAGTTTTGAGTGATGTGTGTCAGTCTTGAGTGATGTTTGTTGATTGCATTTTGTGTTTTCTGACGTCCTCACATTGAGTGATGCTATTTTGTTTTGTTGCTGGTTTTGCAACCAGGGTGATTATTTGCTGTTGCAGTGACGCTGTAATGGGTGGTTGGCGGGTGCTCTGGAGTGGTTTGCTCATTCTCTCCATTCTAACATCTATCATCCTTATCTCGCCTTCTTCTTTGTGTGTGTTACTCTCTTGCGACACCTCTAAACTTATGACTTCTATGACCTTATTGTGGGTCCAGTGCTGAAAAATTTTACCAAAACTTGTGTTCAGCTCTCATAGCTCTTGTACTTGCAGCATTGTATACTTTAGTATACTTTATTTGTGTTTGTGTACTTTGTTTGTATATTTTACTTGTGTTAGTATACTTTACTTGTGTTTGTATACTTTACTTGTGTTAGTATACTTTACTTGTGTTAGTATACTTTACTTGTGTTTGTATACTTTACTTGTGTTTGTATACTTTACTTGTGTTAGTATACTTTACTTGTGTTAGTATACTTTACTTGTGTTTGTATACTTTACTTGTGTTCCCATGTGTATAATTTGCTGTTGACTTTTAAAATAATTATGAAGCTTTATGCTACTGACTTTAACAATGTTATCATCAACTGTGGTAGAGCCACTGTGTTTGTTTTGTCTTGGTGATTTAGTAGCAAATACGCATGTTCTTACACGAGTGCTGAATGTACGAATGTCGTATAGAAATCTAAATGAATAGTTTTACAACAGAATTTGGCAATTCCGTTTTTTTAGATTTTGAGAAAGAATAAAGATGTTCATGTCCTGGATGGACTTGAGCTGCCCCTGGTTTGTGGAGAAAAGATGATGCAAGGCTTGGGTAATTCTGTGGGCGTCACATTCAACGAGAAGTCGGCTCCAACGAGGCAATCCTTAGTCCCTGATTTTTTTCCTCTATTTCTCTTTGTAAATGTACGTCGGCTCCAACGAGGTTGCAAACAGACCGAAGTCGCTTTCACCGAGGTCGCGATAACGAAATAAAGGCAATTAGCGGCCCCAAAAGCGAAGAATTTTTCTCCTTTCTCTCCATCTCACGCGAAGCACAAGGCCCATCCTCCAATCCTAACACAGTGTATTGCTAGATCTTGTGTGCCTCCTAACATGGGCCCCAAAGCCAAGAGTATGGGCGAGGTTAGCCTACGGTGGGGACGGGAGGGGGTGGGTGGGAACGCCATGCGGGCTGTGTGAAACTTGAACTCTGGATGGGTAGGTCTAGATCGAGACCTTCATTTTTTTTTCAATTTTCTGTTCTTCTCCTGATCAGAAAATCCAAGGTCCCGCCTTTACTTTATGTAGATCTAGGCCTAGGTGTGAGAGGGGAGGTTTCCACACGAGAAGTGTTCCGGAAAAAAATAAATGTTAAAATGCAGAAAAGACGGTGAGAACACAGCTCAAACACGCGCGCACTAATGCTGTTTGAGATTTTCGTCATCAGGGGGAACAACTGTTGTAATTACTGGTATTGGTACATCGTGTAATGTACGGTAACAACTTGTCTCCTTTCTTTACTTTAGCCTTAGTCACGTTCAGCGAGAGGTCAGATCCAACGAGGACAACAAGCCGGTCCCGGCAACCTTGTTGAATGCGACACCCACTGTAGTTATTGTTGGATGGAATCAGCGTTGAATTCTCTTCCGTTAAATTGATGAGAACAACAAACATTTTTGACCAAACCCTGCCTGTCTACATTTGTCGGCAAACTGTCCAAATATTCCGTGTGATCTGATTGGACTGACATTTGTGTCTTGTGACCTATGGAGGGCAGGTGGGAGAGTTTGTCGTATCTCACGACTTTGTTCTTTGTTGAGGCTTGCACCTGTTGGAACAGTCTCTCTGTTCTGGGCTTGCCCAATCACCTACGTTGTCCGTCAAAACAACGAGGATTACTCTTAGGAAATAAAAGTTCTACTTCAAGAAAGTCTTTGTGTGTGTGTGTTGATGTTTTTTGTAGGAGATATGTCTTTGTGTGTGGATGTGTTGGTGTTTCTTGTGAGTCTGTTCTAGATAAATGAGTAATAAAACGATATGTCCACGGAT